CTAAACCCTAAAAACCTACAAGGGAGCCTAGGCCTAGACCTTCTTCCCGCCGAAGAGTGAAGAAAGGCGCCTCGAAAGCTTGGCGATGCTCCAGGCCTGAATCGAAAGGAAAATCGGGCCTTAGCTGCGCCCAACAAAACCCAAAAAGGGGTCTCTTCCGTGTCAGAGGGCAGGGAAGGGCAGGGCAGCGGTATTTCCCTTGCAAATCAAGTCTTCAGGCTTGACTGACGCCAGAAGCACCCCGAACTTCGTGTTGTCGGTCAGGAGGTGCGGTTTACGCTTAAGCCGTAAAGCCCCGAAATCGGCGCCCAAGCTGCGACTGCAGGCTGCTATAGTTCACGCGGCCAGTCCTCGGGATGCAGAGCTCGGTTCTTTGAGGCTTTTGCTGTCCCCTTCTTGGTTTTGTGGGCTGTGCTGTTTGAGAGCTTCGTGTTTGTTTGCTATCAGGCTCAGACTTGCTTTGTTAGGAGTGGTTCAAATTTCATATCTCTAATTGGGGGGTTTGCAGCTTTGAAGGGACATCAGTGCGCTACACTGTGTTTCGGGATTTCGACTCTCTCACGTGGCTAAGACGGTCTAGAGTCTTTACCGAGTCTATAGAGGGCCATGGCGGCCGCTGAGGGGGCCGTCATGGGGGACTCTGCTCACTCACACTCGAACCCAGTTGAAATATGCTCGACCTTGGGTAGAAGTTGACAAGTAATGACAGGAATCATGGTACTGAGCCTATCAATGGCAAGGCCAAAAGTTACAAGTTTTATGTCGCGTCCTGCTCTCAGAGCACCTGCTTGCCGAGCAACGAGGGATGAATGCTGCCGCTGGCTTTGTTGCGGAAGGACTGGTCCCAAATCCGATGGGTGTCCACCCCGGCTGCCGGCCTTCAGACACGGCCCGTTCATAGGTATACAGATCCGTATATGTACAAAAATGGCTTGTATGAATATATGTATGTATGTTTTGCAGACATAAGTGTGTATATGTGTGTGTGTATGTATATATATATATATAATGAAGATTGGGATATGCACATGTGTATATATATATGTATATATATATATACATATGTATATATATATATATATATATATATATATATATGTAATGTATATATGTATATATGTATACATATATATATACACAAGATGCACAGGTATACAAACATAGGTATAGACATTCGTATCCACATACATACATGCATGCATAGATACACGTATACATCTTGGCACTCGCTCTCGACAGCGTCAGTCGAGGTTTAGGGGTACTTACTGAGAATTTTCGGGGCACAATCGCCCGGTAACTGCATTAACTAACAGCGAGACAGTACAACTCAAGACTACAACTCACAAAACCTACCTCTGTGAACTTCACTTCACGTATATACACACACACACACACACACGCCCGCGCGCGCATGCACATGCACCTGCACTTGCAGCATTCTTCTCACTCGCGCTCGAACAGGTCAAGCGAGGTAACGGGACAACGATACACCATATTACATACAAAACAAAAAATAAATGCCTATCTTCCTGATAAGATGTGCAGAAACCATATATACTTACATACATTTGTGTGTACATATATATATACAAATAGATATATAAACATGTACATATATTACATATATACATACACATAAATTTATTTATGTACGTATGTGCGAGTGGATAGACACGGCTGGGCGCCGGTGTGTGTATGTATGCATTTACGTATACAGTATACATGCATGAACTCTCACATATAACCTCGGTGCATGTGCGTGATTTATATATATGTATATATATATATATACACAGGTTTATCTGTTTATTTATACCTTACTTACCTACGTACATACATACAGACATGACATACGCACATGCATTTTTGACACTCGCACTCGACGACGTCAGGCGAGGTTTATGTTGACAAACCGGCCAAACTGTCCGAAGCAAAGCGCATTAGCTTCGCAGCAAGCATTATCAGCGACTGTAAAGGCATCAAAAACATACATACATACATACATACAGACATACATATGCATGTATATATATATATGCATACACACGCATGCCATGTCGGATCTCTTGTATCTATGCGCCTTGACAAATCATCTGCGGAACGGGCTCGTCGGGGCGTCGCTTCCATGGCCTCCCTGGCCGAGACGGTCTGCATCCACTCCGGAACCTGATCCTCAGTCTCCAGGGAGGCATATATATATATATATATATATATATACATGCTTATAACAGATATGCATGCATGTGTATCGTTTCGGGTTTCTGTGTATTCGATTGTCATTGGTTGTTTCTATATACGATCCTTTGACTAATTTTGGATATGTTTACACACATACACTGATAAGAAACATGCACCACGATTCCACGATCTCCATCTCTCGGTATAGTATATGTTTTTCCTTCTCGTATGGCTGGTACCGATGCCCACTATAGTATAGATTATCACATATATAAAAACGAGCACACGCACATACATCTACGTCGATGGCTGCAGCTAAACCCATCTATCTAAGCACTCTCTCTCTCTCTCTCTCTCTCTCTCTCTCTCTCTCTCTCTCTCTCTCTCTTACACACACGAACACAAAACTTAACTTTGGTGCAAGCGGCAGAAACGACGAGGTGCTGCATGTTGTTGGCGGGTCTACCTGGCTGCCGTCCCAGCTAGCAAGCATGTATCCGACAGCTGAGACCCAGGAAGGGTACTCGCACTCCGAAAGGCCCCACTGCCCCATGGCGTCCGAGGGGCTTTTGGTCCGAGGGACCAGGAAAGTGAACCTGCTCGTGTCAGAGAGAAGAGAAGAATGGAGGGGGAATTCCTGCCGTCCTGCCGGTCATCGCTTGTGTAAGTGTTTGTGTGCGCCGTGCAGATGCTTGGTCCTGCCTGTCGTGTCCATCCTCAGCTTGCCAGGCATTTTCAAGCATCTAGACATCTCTCGGAAGAATGTCGCAAGCACACTGTGAGGGGCTACGAAGTTTCACCATGGCAAGCAACTCGCTGCCAACTTCCAGGAGACTCTTTGTCGACTTTCTTCCACGTCGAAGCGCCATTCATCCAGTCAGGGCTCCCCCTTGGGCACAGGGCGCATGCGCAAAGGGCTTCGCAGAGACAGCAGCCGTTTTGAAGGTCTGATTCATGTGCGCAACTTGCGAAACAAACAAGCATCGACTTGGGTCATCTTGAGCCTGGAGCCTTGTGTTCCCAAACGTCTGTGCTCAATCACATGAAGCATTACGACCTCGACCTAAAACAATGCTGTCCAGCTGCGTTGAGACGTTTTGGCTCAGCGATACTCCTGTATCATCTCGCCTTCGTTACGACATGCTTCAACGAGTCTTTGACATCCAAGACTTGCCAGAACCGGCAACGGTCACGCTCTACGGGATGCCGTCCCTAGTCAGGCTGCCAAGTTGCAGCGCAGCTCCAACCTTCTTGCCCTGTGTCCTGGCCGAGCTGCCAATACCGGCAGCAATTTCGTCTCCTGGCCGGCTGGGCTTGCGCAGTGAATAGCAAGGACGCTCATACTGCGCATGTTCAGCAAGGCGATCTGTCTGCTCTCAACCCTGCATAGATGCATGCTTCGACACAGCAGGTTGCCCACATCAACTCAATGCCACGCCAGTCGTCAGCAGAAGCAGAGAACCCTTGCGTTTCCTGTTGCACTCCGCGTGTTTCTTGCTACTCAAGTCCATTGCCTCCAGCTGGCTTCTTCAGCTTCTGAGCTATCCCTTTCTGCTCAAAGTAGGAGCGGTTGTTCTCAAAGAAGGACTTCATCCACTCCTTGGAGACATGGGACCACAGGCAAGCATTAACCATGTCAGCCGGTTGCATGATGTAGCAGATGCAGGACTCGTTCATTATGGAATACTCCTTCATTACCTCCGGCTTCTGATTACAAGGTCAATGAAAAGCTATTGAACCGGCTATTGCTTTTTGAAGGGTCTGTAGAGTCCCCCGCGATCGCGTCTCGTTCATTCAAGGGTCTGGACTTTCCACTGAGACGATCGTCTTGTTCTGTATTCGTCCGGTATCCTGGGCCTGAGGGAGCAAGTCTGACGATTCGTCTGCGAGGCTTTCCAGCCGCAAGTCGATTTGCCTAAACTGCGCACCCAAGCCAGCACGCTTCATGTCGGATTTCCTCTTCCGTGGCTTCACACTGATGACATCCTGAAATGCCTTCATATCTCTTCTGTGACTCTGCAGGCCTGGATGTTCATTCGTTTGCCTGGGCGCCAGTTGTCTTCTGCCGGGTTCCCACATTTGCCACCTTGGTAGAGATGATCCCTGACCGGCTCAAAGATGGAGAGCTGTACAAGTAGACTTAGATCAGGTCAATGAAATTCACTCGCATTGCTGCTGTACAACATCGCAATGCGTCGGCTCATGGATGGCCACTGACACAGCATGCTTCGTTCAAGCTACTCTCGTTGTCAAACTTCATTGGTTTCGTCCGATCTGGGCGACGATCGGGCCGCTCTTTGGCCGCTGTCTGGCCTCGCATGGACATCCAGATAAATTGAGGCAGAGTTTCGATTTCGTAGTGTTTTATAGGGATCCTGCATTTCAACATCTTGGAAGATGACTGCGGCTTCTCGCACTTTTCCAACCCCCGGTCCCGACCTTTCTTGTCAGAGGCATTCTTTTTCGCCACCGCTTGCTGAGCGTATCCAGACATGGCTGCTCAAAGCTCCACAGGATATGATGTCAAGGACCTTTAGGACACTTTCACTGATAGTTGCTGCTTATGCCAACAAGAGAGAAGCTGCGATGTAACTACTAGTCTGCATTTCGTCGCTGTTCGGGCGTGGAAGCATGAGCCCGCATGCCGCGGTGGAACGTCACACCACTGAGCGCATGTTGTCTATATCTGACAAGGCCAGCAAGCGATTACGGTCTCAAAGTTGCATGGGGAGCCATTTTCGCACCTTCCGCGGTCGGTGCGACGAATGATGTCTGGCAGTCTGGCGTCTGGGGCGTGCTCTACTTGTCCTTCATGTCATGCGTCACATACCCATGCCGCCCATGCCCTTGCCGCCCATGCCGGGTCCCATGTTCGAACAACCACAGCCTCCTTTGCAGCCGCAACCTCCGCAACCACCACATCCTCCACAACACCCGCCACAACCGCAACCGCCACCCCCAGGGCAACCGCCACAACAGCCGCCGCAACCACATCCACAGCCTGGGCCACCGCAACCGCAGCCACATCCTCCGCAGCGGCATCCGCCACAGCCGTTTCCGCAACCACCTCCACAGCCACAATTTCCGCAGCAGCCACCCCCACAGCTTCCGCAACCACCCCCACAGCCTCCGCAACCACAGCCGCAACCGCCGCAACCACCGCAGCCGCCGCAGCCGCCGCAGCTTCCACAGCCACCGCATGAACACCCCCCACAGCCACAGCCACATCCTCCACAACCACTGCAGCATCCACCGCCACATCCGCAGCCCTGACATCCTCCACAGCCTTGCGGCCCGCACCCACAGCCACCTTTGCAGCCGCAGCCACAACCACATGGACCTCCACAACCGCCACATGCACCGCATGGGCCACACCCGCTGCCTTTGCCGCAGGGACCACATCCTCCACACGGGCCGCAACCACCTCCACATGATGTCCCGCATCCACCGCATCCGCAGGCAGAATTGCAGCCGCCACAGCTGCCACAGCCACAGCCGCCGCAGCCGCCGCAGCCGCCACAGCCGCTGCAGCCGCCACAGCCGCCACAGCCGCCACAGCCGCTGTAGCCGCCGCAACCACCGCAGCCACCTAAGCCACAGCCAGAGCAGCCGCGGCAACCGCATCCAGAGCCGCCACGACCATTCTCGGCTTTGTGGCTCCTTGGCTCTGGCTCTCCCATGCCTTGGCTCATGCGCTCACTTGGCATCATCACCATGGGACTCAAGCAGCACAATACGATCATCAGCCACGCTGGCAGCATGAAATACCGTGCAAACACAAGTTTTGGTCGCAATTCGGGTCATGATCCTTGGTTGAAGTTGCGACAGCCTCTGTCACCAAGAGAATGACAGCCCAAAGCCAGTGACAACTGCGCATGTTACTCTCACGAAGCAAGCATAACCGAAACTGCAATCGGTCACGATTTCAGATGATTCGGCGGCGCCTTACTGTTCCCGCAATGACACATGTGGCCTTGATGCAACACTCGCCTAACCACAGTCGCAATGCTCATGGCTACCAGTGCCACCGCGCATTTCTTGTTTCATTTATGAGGCCTCGCCAAAGGACCGTGGACCAAGCCTAAGCTTGGCAGGAGAGGTCTCGTGCTTGGTGCCAAGCGACTGCCACCACTTTTCTGCTTGGCTTGGTATTCCTCTTGCCTGAGCTGCACACACGATCATCTCCCGTGCGTCGGAACTCGTCATAGCTTTTTGTTTGTCTCTTGGTAGTCGTTTAAAGCACAGACGCAAACGCAGCAAGGGCTGTCTGCAGATTCGTTGCTGTTGCTGCATCATACGACGAATCTCCGCTTCCATGGGATCTTCGGCTGCCGGCGGTGGTGGCGGGGCTGGTGCCCTTGGCGCAAACATGGGTTTACGCTCGCACAACTCGGACAAGCCAGGCGAGGTTCCATAGGTGCGGGTCGTTTGGGGCTTTACATAGCTATAGCACTCGCAGAAGCAAGCAAAAAAACAAGCGCACGGTACAGGACCATCACGGAGTAATTCAACGAAACAGCTCAGCTCAACACGCGACGACATCAGGGTAAAAAACATGTCTCATTTACATAGACCGAGCTTTGGGGTGGAGGTTTGTACATTCTATGTCGTTCTACATTCTATAGCCAACTGCTTCAAAAGACGATCTCCACCAGGAGCCCTCCGATCCCCGCGCAGCGCCTTTTCCCAGAACTCACGACCGGCCCAGGCTTCGAACAGCAAACTCAGCAAAGGTCGCGTTGGCGTTGCTGACTTGCCGCCCCCGGGCCCCGGTTTGACAAAAGTGCCACCTGCGGCGACGATTTCACCTGGGCTCTCCTCCGGCTGACTCTCATCGCAGCAAGTGGCCCAGCACCGACAAGTGGAGCTCCAAGGCTGTGAAAGGCGACGACTCCAGGCTTATCCTCTGTGTCCTTTGCCTTTTCCCTTTGTGAGAAAAGTGGCATGCTTCCCAGAGTTCTTGGTACTGGTGGATGCAACCAATTTGCAAGCTAAGGAAGCCGGTGCACTGGCCGTGTCCCAGACCAAGCAATCCATGAAGACATGACGGCGCGTGCGCTCCTGGAACTCCTTCAAAGCCTTCAGGCGCCTATTTCCAAAGATCGTCCAATATTCGCGTTCTTGAAATCTGAGCAGGACCAGCGGCGTAATGTCTCGGGGCTTGCACTTGCCAGAAACCAGATCCTCGACCAGCGTCTGCACTGATTGGCCTTTGTGTGAGCCATGTGCAAAGAGCCTGTTCACAGTGTCGTGGGAGTGGTGTATGTCTTCCACATCGACACTTTGTCTATTGTCTCTAAACTGGCGCAGAACGCGGTGTCCCGTCTCTGCAGGATCATATGCGGCATGGCGCTTCTTGCCGAGGAAACGAACCAAGCAGGCCATTGGATCTTCCGACTGCAGCACCAATCTGCAAGCCAAAGGTGCGGGTACTTCGCCTGCACCCACAACCTTGACATCCTCGAAGACCACACACCTGAGTTGCAAGCGTCTTCTGCTCATCCGCTGATGATCTTTTGCTGCTTGCAGCTGTGCATTGCCGAACACCGCGACATGGACTGTTGGCTTTTCGACGAACTTAATGACCACCAGGGGAGGGAGTTCGTCCACTTCTTGCCTTCTTGATCGGAGGGCATGTGCCAGTTCCAGATATGTTTCCTGTTCGAATGTCTCGTCGGACATCTCTATATCACACACATCAATTTTCTCAAAGTCTTTGAACTTGTACCGGTCAACCCGGAAACGTTCAGCTTCGAAGCTGATGCGCTCGAGCATCTCTTTTCGAAGCCTGCTAAGTGGAGGAGCCTGGCGAGTTGGCGGACTCCTTGCTCTGACATGCTCCCGCCGTCTGTCGCGTGCAGTCTGACGACTCGTTGGCGGAGTCCTCGACCTGAGCGCCGGCCCCTGCGAGGGCTCCGGCTATCACGCCTGAATCTGGAAGGACGCCCGTCTGCCAAAGCCGCACTGCCTGAAGTCTCATCGTGGCCCAGAACATTCCCCAGCGCGCCGCTTTTTCTCCAAAACCCGGCGTTCATCATTTCGCTCGGTGTTCGTTCATCGAAGTCGATGTCCAGCTGGTGGGGGGCATTGTTCTGCCTGCTAGGAACGATGGAATCTAACGCCTGCCAGATCTTTCTGACGTTGGGGCCATTGCCCAGGCGGATGAGTTCTGTCTGCCACTGCTGTACGCAGGCTGCGCCGAGAGGCGCTGCCGACATGCTGATGCTGGCAGCTGAACCTCCTCAATGCTAGCAGCACGATGGTTAAGGCTCTTCGAGACTGTTTGAACCTGTTTCGTTGGAAGCTTCGTCTGCGACTTTTTGAACCAACTCTTGGCAGGGTCGCACCGCCCCCTGTATGAGCCTCTAGCGTTGCGGACTGACCCTCGGACATGCCCGTCAGAAAACAAAACCCTCCCACGTCACCGCATCTTATATATACAGAAATACGTATATGTAACATGTATATAATTTTGTATAATATATATATATATATATATATATATATATATATATAGAAATATATAGATATATACAAATACTTGATATCATGCATATAGATATATACAAATAAATATAATGTAAAACCATCTTAATGCAGCGAGGGGCGATGCTGCGAGAGCGGGCCTCGGCACTTCAACCGAAACCGGGTTTCGACTCGCACAAGGCAGGCGGATTTCTAGCGCGAAGACGGATTTCTAGCAAGATATTTTAGCGTGTACATGTGCATGTACATATGTGTATAAATACATGCACGTATATGTACGTATATATATATATATATATATATATATATATATATATAAACACTCGTAGATACATTCATCCTACATATTCTCGTACTCTTTTCTGACATGGTCTGCGCGATATGTATGTATGTCTGTATATAAGTGTATGTATGTCTTAGAGATGTATGTATATAATGTACGCTGGATTGGATCTGACCCTATATAGGGTCGACCAGCACGGCCATGCAGTTCGCGTGCTCGTCACACTTCTCCTTTTAAAGCCAAGGCACGGCTGCGGAGTGGAACCTTCAAGACTCTAAGCATGACGACAATTATGATGGCGAGGACATGTGAGGACTATCACCATCCATACTGTTCTGATCGATTCAGTTACCTTTCTTGTCAGTGAAAGCCAGTTCTCATGGAAATCTTAAAAGCAGTTTGAGCGCTACATGCATTGAACCTCGCATGCGACCTTGCTCTGGACAAACAATCCGGCCTGCGGGTGCAGGTGGAGGCGGAGGACGATTTAGCCCCAACTGTGCTGCTGCATTCGCTGCTGCCTCCGCAGTGGAGCCCCTAAATCCGGTAGAAAACTGCTGAATCGGGAGCCGGCCGATGTGCAACAAGGCCTCATGCAGTTGCCTCGGCGCCTTCTCCTCAAGTCGCTCATCAGAAACACATTGTCAAACTTCCCTGCCAGCCACGCAAAGCACTCGCCTCGGTCTTGCTTTTGCTCAGGGCGGCATCCTGCGAGGAGCTCTGACAGAGTAGTCAGCTCTCAGACATCAGGCATTCTGCATACACAGCAAGCTGCATAGTGCCTGCGCTTGCTTGAGCTTGTCTCTCGCTGCCTTCCCAAGCGCTTAAAAATAATGTGAGGCACGGAGACACACAAAGAGCTTGCCAAAGCCCAAAGCGTACGTGACAAGCACACAGCCGTGACACTGGCCGACAATTTGGCACCAGCAAAAAGCTGACACACGAAAACACATGCGTTCATGCAGAATCCTTTCTCATTGTAAACCAAACTCCCAGCATGTAGATAAGCAGAAAGGTGACGACACTTGCTCAACAGTAACTATGCCACCGCATGATAAAAACAAATCTCCAAACCGAGCACAATCAGAGTTTCCATTGGTCCATTGTCACCAGTGATTGTCATTTCACTTGTCGCTCTTGTTGCTGAAACCTTCTCAACGAATGAGGTATGGTTGCATATCTTGACATGGCAGACGTGTAATCCCATAACCTATGACATTGCTGCGCACTTTTTGTTCTACCATAGGAATGTGTCCCGGATAAACTACATTACATTGTTTTGTGTGATATAATTTTGCCTCCTGCATGGCTGAGTACACGAGTACATGCAATGTTTATGTTCTATTACATTACACCATATCACACTTTATTATACTGTAAATGCCATTAGAGATTGTGCTATGCTATATTGTAGTAGAATATACTACATTATACTACAATGTACTCACTACATGTTGTATTCTAGCAGATAGTACGACAACATACTGAACGAAACTATACCATATTGTACTATCGTATCATATCGTGTATCACCCTACCGCATATTATTTCGTCTTATTTTGATGTGCCTTGTCTTATCTTTCAAAGTATGCTGTTTTTGTACCTTATGATTTACTACAAGATCTCGACCAAGATTTCATATCGTCATATCTCATCGTGCCATAGCTTATACTATATTCAGTATCTTACATCACATTGTGCTTGTTTCTTTCCTGTTCTAGTCTATACGGTTATGTTGGATTGCATTTAACTACACTTTGGGTGATGTGTATACACGATAGTGTGTTAGTATGTGGTGCTCATTTGTTGAACAAATCCCAGAATCGAATAACAACGCAAGTGCACATGCAAGTAAAGTTACACATGCGTATACTCATGCGCTCATGCATAAATACGCGCCCATAACTGCTTAGACACATGTACATATGTCAGAACAGCAGGAGCATTAAACAAGAAAGCGCAAATACAACACACACACACACACATATATATATATATATATATATATATATGCACCCATATATACATATATATATATATATATATATATACATATATATATATATATATATATATATATATATACATATATATATGTTATATAAGCAAACGCAGCATTATGAATCGAAGTATACTGACAACCGCAAATAACACCATATGAACTACACATATGTGTATAGATGAGCGTGTGTGTCTGTGTGTCTAGATCGAGATAGAAAGGTATGTACATGTATTTATGTATGTCTAGACTCTCTGCTCATGCAAGTAACTCCTTCACATCCCGTATCGAATACAACTCTTCCCGCCTTCTCTGCCTTGTAGGCTACATCCTTCAGGGGAGCACAGAAATCATCTGTCAGGTTGCATGCATAGGTTTCAGGACTTTTGGGGTTTGGGGATCAGGGCTCATTTTTGACGGTTTCGGTGCTCACACTCGGACAATCCAGGCGAGGCATAGGGCGGCTTAATGTTTGAGGGATTTCTTCCGTCGAATATGGCTGGGACGAACTTAAGTAGCAGGTCGGTGCAAGAAAGAAAGGTCTTCTTGACAGGTATTAATTAGGTTCATTGTTTTGTGCGCCTTAATTTTGGGGGACACGGGAAGGCAGAATATACAGAAATACCATATTAAGTCATCATAGATCCATCTTTAAGAAGCGGGCTACCTCTACCTACTACCTACTGTCTCGGACCTACTACCTACTACCTGCTGCGACGGCGATTGCTACCACTAGTACTGCTGCTACTACCACCACTACCAGGTCACTACCACTACTACGACCACTACCACATCTACCACAAAGCAGCGGCTACTACACGGCAGTGCTGCAGCAGCACTTTCACTTCGTACGGACCCGGCCTGGCTCTCTGCATCCTCTACGGTCCCGCCAGGCGGAGGTTGTCCCCGGATCTGTCCAGGGTGATTGTAAAGGCAAGCCTGAGTGTTGCAGACAAAGGCGGTCGAGACTCTCACTGGGACAAGCCAGGTCCAGGGTTTAGGTTTAGGGTACTGAGTGACCCTTCACATTCCCGAGACTGGAGAAGCCGTCGACATCCGTCGGCGTCGGCTGTGCAGCCAGGCCACAGGTGTCGTGCAGCGCCTCAGTTGTCAGTTGGGTTGGTGGCTTAGGGTTTTGGGGCCCATTAATACTGTAGTTTCAATAAGGAACCCCCAAAATAGTTTACAAGAGAGCGTTCGCCAGGGCTGAGGTGGCGGTTGTCACACTTGGCATGCATGCACTATACAGACTACTGCGTGAGAACTCAAAGCTTCATGAGCCATGTTTTTGCACTGGAAAGCCGTTCACGGCATGACGAGGGCGTAAACAGCAAGGGAGCGAAGCAACACACAACTGCTTGGCATGATGCTCTCCGAGCATGCACTTGGTGGCAAAGTAGTCGTCAAGCCAGCCTTGCATAGGCTAAGAAGAGCACACTACTGCTATTGACAACGACAGGCATACATGAAGCGCGACACAGCCTCATTTTTGCAATTCAGATCAGGGACGTTGCTTCTCAGCTTCATCCTGGGGGTGAAAGTTGGTGCACTTGGAGTACAGCTTGCCTGAGTTGCGGCTACGAGTGGCGCAAGCAACTACCACTTCGCCTCACAGAAAGGAGTTTCAGTTGCAGCTGAGCAGCAGTGTCCTTGCAAGAAGAAGACCTTACCGTGCCGGATCGGCCAGCTGTGGCTAGGACTTGCAGTAGAGGCTGGAAACTGTTAGGCCTAGGCCTAAACTCTATGCATGCCGAGCAGCACATGCCCTGTCCCGCGAAGCGTGCAAGGTCTTGATGGCATTCGCACGGGCAAAAGCAGCCCTGCAACGGCGAGCAGCGAAATTAATGTAGTGCCCACGGAGAACAGAAGCACAACTGGTTGTGGTGCAGCAAAGCATAGCACAGTCTTTCAGCATATTATACCATAGTTGACATGGGACAGCACAGCCCAGTACTGTATGGTACAATGGCTGCATGGCCTTTTCGCTGCTTCAGCAAGCACGTCAGCAGTGAGGATGCCCGATCCTGGCAAGACTCCTCTTGAAAGCCGCAAGCCGCAGCCCTAAACCCCATGTAGATATCAACACAAGACAAGATATTATACATATGTGTGTGTGTATGTATGGATGTATGTACGTATGTATGTCTGTGTGTTTGTGCTTTGTGTATGTATGTACGTACGTATGTATGTTGATTATGTATGTATGTATGTATGTATCATACTGTATATGATCAGTATTCTACAATATTTTACATATATAATATAGAACTCGTCGAACACATTCGAAGACACAATATCCGAACCCTTGCATCTGAGGAGTTGGCCTTCGCCGCCCTTGGCGTCAGGAGGCTGCGTGCCTCCAAAAGCAGAGCCGTGGCTGAGCCAGCTCTGACACGCGAAATGTGGTGATTCTCCATCGTTAGGTTTTGAGGCCTGGCTGCGGCTTGCTTGTAAGTTTCCTTTGCAGGGGGATCGCTGTCAGCGGTGTCACGAAAGTGTCAGGTGTCCCTGAACGAAGCGTACTTGTGCTGCCGCGAATGTGTTCAGCCTACAGTGCATGGCTCTCTAGCTCTCGCAGGCCATACCTCTGAGACAAGGAGCAATGATAAGAAACTCAGACACTGACGCATGCGCAACCGCCCCTCTTCCCCAGCTGCATGATGCTTAGCAAGCGAGTGCGCGCCTGCTGCGGCGGTGGGGCTCTTTGGCGGGCTACCTCTCCTGGGACTGTCCCGTGGGCTGCCACGGCTCCTGCTGCGCCTGGGGATGGGGCTTCTCCTTGGAGGGCTTCTCCGGGGAGGACTCCTTCGTGGTGGACTCCGTCTCGGGCTTCCACGAAAACTGCCACGACTTCGGCTTCGCCTGGCCAAATGAGGACTTCTTCTAGGAGGAGTTCTTCTGGGAGGGCTCCGTCTTCTGAATGGGCTGCCCCTCCGAGGGCTTCGGCTGCGGCTGCGTCTCGCCGGGCTTCTCCTAGGAGGACTTCTTCTGGGAGGAGTGCCCCTCCTTGGACTTCGACTGCCACGGCTCCTGCTGCGCCTGGCAATGGGGCTTCTCCTTGGAGGGCTCCTCCTTGGGGGGCTTCTCCGGGGAGAGCTCCTTCTGGGAGGGCTGCCCCTCCTGGGACTTCCCCGTGGGCTAGCGCGGCTTCTGCTGCTGCGCCTGGCCATGCCCAGCTGCGAGGTGACGTAGAAAATCTTAAGTAGGCAGCACAGAATTAAATTTCAATGCATCCACTATCCACCATACAGTACTGTATCTAGTCCATACATACATTCAATGCATTTCAATGCCATATAATGTAGTCATTCAAGCATCAAAACCTACAATCTGCAAACTTGAAAGCACCACATGAAACCCAAAACCCTAAACCAATGCCAACGTTGCCACCAGCCTTCGGGAGTTGGATCTGCCAGAAAGTCCGACCATCGAAGCTTCGGAAAGGTGCTCAGAAATTGGTCAGCGTGGTGTAATATGGGGGCCCATATCTTCTCCTACAAGGGTCTGCTACATCTAAAGCAGCAGTCATTGTCTACTGTGATTTTAGTAAGGAGCCCTTCGTAGCGTAGGCCCCTACAGTGTGTGAGGTGCCGCAGGGGCAAGTCGGATTGCAAGGCGTCTGAGACTTTACCGTAGTTGTTTACGACTGCTGTACGGAGCTGGGAACTAGCCATGCCACAGCTCGTGCTGCCCGAGATCCACCGTCCGGCCTGCAGAGTGGCTTTCTTGAGCCAGAATAGCACGCCTCCGCCGAAAGAAGCGTCTGCAAAGTGGCAGTCCGGCCTTGATGTGACGACTAGGCTTAGGCTTTTCGTTGAAGAAGCTGTGGTAGTGACGCATGGAGCCGATCGCCCAACTTTTCATGGCAGCAGCATCTTCAACTGACTTCGCCCCTCTGGTCCACGGGGCTCCTGCGGAGAAGGTGTCAGAGAGGCCCACGAGTTCAGTTCATAATGGTCACTGCATGTCACTGCCCAGGCCGCTCCAGCTTCGACAAAGCCTGGGAGACGTCGGCTGGCAACGGACATCTGACGTCAAAGTCTCCGTTTCCGACCTTTGTGGGCAGCAGAAAGCTTTGCGTGACACTTCCCGCCTTCGCTTCTGCATGGTACCAAGGGCATGTCAGAGGTTCATTGTGTCTTACACACCATCGAAGCTCATTGGAATCGAAATCTGGCTCCAAATCTTGCAAGACCTTGAGCCTACGGTTTCCCCCCAGCCCAGACAGCCCGGGGTCTGGGGTGCTCTATATCATTTGTTGATTTTGCATCCTCCAACCCTGGCAGATCTTGGCTCATGACGAGGATCTGCATCAGGGCACAGGGGGCTACTTGCCGTACTTGTCAAGCTCGTGTGCCGAGGGCTGAACATCCAGGCCAACGCGGGCTGCGTGAAGAAATGTGCGAGGGCACCTGAAGCCAGGCTAACCTGCGACCTGCTTACTGTAACACTTGGCAGACAGTTGCTCAGTTGCTCTGCTTGAATTTCGATGCTCGAGCAACTGTGAGGATGCAGGAACGCGAGGCGATATCGCGCCGAGGTCACTTGCTGGGCAGTCATCAGGCACCATGCCGCTTCAATCCATCGACTAAGCTCAACTCCACTTCGGCGCTGCGCCGCCATACTGAACATCACCTACCTGGGCATGCAATTCAACGCCCGCATGCTCTTAGAGAGCAGAGGGCAGGCACTACAAGCAGAAACTCACTGAGGACTGAAACGAGTGGATGCCCCTCTTCGGCAAGATGTGCCCGTATCCTGCAGGAGTCTTCAGGGCCTCTTGCAGGAGGCTCTGTCGTGAGGCGTGGGGCCCAGGCTGATGTTGCCGGCCAGTGTGCAACTGCACCTGCACACGATACGGCAAGCAAGACCCAATTATTTGGCTGCTCAGTGGCAATCAAGGAGAAGTTCCTCGACCCTTTTCTTCTGCAACTTGACTCACCAAGTGCAGACGTCCCGCCAATTGCAGGTTAAACAGTTAAACCATGAAACATCAACGAAAGGTGAAACCATGTAGAGAGTCTCTCTGCTGTATTTGTCTTGATTCATTACTTTGGAGACACCTCAGCGGGCGACATTATGTACCACGAGCAAGCCGCTTAACTTCAAGAGCCTGTGTCTGTCAAGATTCGAGATGCCAGTATCAGCAAAGGTTGTCTTCTGTTGGGAAGGCGGCCGAATGGCGACCGCTACAACCGCAGACGTGAAACGATCTACGGCTGCACTTATGCTAAGCTGCTAACTGTGTTACCGCAACCAGGGATGATCCGCTTGTGCGGTTTGAAGACTGGACGACATGTACCCCAGCAAAGAACAAACAGTGCCCGTGCCTGCACCAGCTTTATCAAGTACGAGTGTACAGTACACCAGTGGTACTGGTTCATGTCTGCAGCGATTCTGCAGCAGTCAGGTGGCCGCAAACGCAGGCCGCAGCCAATCAGATCATGAGACACGCCCCTTAGCAGCCATCATGCAGTGGTCATGACGGCGTTGTCATGGGCGCAGTATCATCCAAGTTGCTCAAACAGTACGTGCCTCCGATGTCGAATACCACATAGCGAAGCGCTCGAAGTCCAACACCTGCGCCTCAAGGTCAGGGTAGGGAGGGGGGTTCTGAAACTTGAGGGCCGCTATTTATAAGCCCTGCCTTAACATGACGATCCTGTTCCCATGCATTCTACATTCGGCTTGCTCTTGTTGGGTACCACTACCACTACCACCACTACTACTACTACTACTACTACTACTACTACTACTACTACTACTACTACTACTTCTACTACTACCACTGCTGCTGCTACTACTACTACTACTACTACCACCTCACTCCGGGCCTTGCGACCATCCTCCGGAGGTGGCATCGTACGCAGCGCCTGCTCCCACCTTTGCCGAAGTAGGGAAAGTACCGTAGGGGTGAAGGGGCCTTAAATATTAGAATAGGGTTTTGGGGGCCCATTATACCATAATTAGAATCAGGAACCCCCAAAAGAGTATCGGTAGTTCTTTTGGCCGCTGTAGTACTTCAACACTCAGTACGGAGCAGCGAGATTACACCCGAACAAGAGAGGCTTTCTCGTCGTGCCACGGCTCCCCACTCTGATTCTGGCGCACCGGTGCCGTGATGCATGTGCACATGCATCTCATATACATGTTCATCTTGGAGGCTCCCAAACCAAAAATTGCGGTGCAGGTGCCAGTAGTTGCTATCGCTCTCGGAGATGGTGCCTGCTGGCAGCCAGGCAAACTCCACAGCCCTGACAAACAAAAACCGGACCAAAGACGTCGAAAGACAGAAAGGTTATTATTGCGAATAATATGCTTGTTGCATTTGTAAATCACAATCATTACAAGCATTACTATGTTAAATATTACTGTTGTTGCTGTGATTGTTATGGGCGATCTTGAGGCCAGGTGGCGGCCGAGGCAAAGTCCTTTGAGCAGCCGCGCAAAGCCCTGCAACGGTCTTCGGGGTGAGGCTGAGATTTATTGCCCCAGTCTTTTTTCCCTCTCGTATGGCTGGCGATGATTGGGAACTTTATAGGAGCCCTAGTCTTAACTGGAATGGGTTTCGAAGCTCACACACTCGCACGAGACAGGCAGTTAGGGGTTTGGGGGTTTAGGGAGGGTTTCTTCTGAAGGGTTCAGGCTTTCTTTCAGGGTTTCAAATCTCAACTGGGCGCGCTCGCAAATGTCGTGGCATTGCTGCGCTGGGCCTTCTTCAGGATCAGGTCGCTTTTGTCAGCTTGAGCCGCGAACTCCTTCCATCCATCATGCATCGCCAGCATCGTTGTTAACAGAGCAGCGCAAGAACGTGGTGCAGACAGATTCTGCCACCGGCAGCACAGATCAAAATTAACATCAAATTGAGCATGCCTATGCTGCTAACAGTTGATGCAGTTTCCTGCCTGGGACTGGGGAAACCAGGAAGAAGAAATGCTTCACTTGCGCATGTTGACACTTCCCGAGAAGCATCCTTGTGTAGGAATTCGATGGCATCTTCGTCCATTTTGCTCTGCTGAGCGATGATCTTCAGAGACTTCTTTGCCTGCACATGCGCAGTGGCACACTGTCACGTGCAACAAGCAGTCGTAACTCTCTGCCTGCTGTTGCATGGCATGACGAGCTCATGTCGTGACATGCGTCAAGACCATTTGACTGAACGACCGGAGAAACATGGTGTCACGGCCACTAGAGCAGAATCAGACAGGAGCGTTTTAAATTATGAAGGATGCAAGCAACGCTTATGATCAGGCCCAGGCCTGTGCAGGGGCTTCAGATGGCTCCTGACACCGTGGGGTTCCAGCCACTGCAAATAAGCACAGGACTCTGTAGCACTGCAGGGATCTTGCTAGACATTTGCTGCTCAATTCTCCCTACGCCTCTTGCTAGCACCGAGAACTGTAGAGATCTCGCAAGACACTTGCTGATCAATTCTAACTAGCATCTTGCTAACACCGAGACGCACCGAGTTATGTTTGCTGCTCCGCATTCGAGCGCTGTTTCCGCTCCATCGCTTCAGGCCTTGGTGCTGCCGCTGCTGGCGCCGATGCCACCGCCGAGGCCGCCCAGCGACAGGCCCACCGCTGCAGCCGCAGACTTCCTGTCCTCCTCCAGTTTGGCGCGCTCCAGGGGTGCCTTGGGTTCACAAAGGAATTTCCACGTAAAGACCTCACGGACGAGGAAAGACCGGTGCAGTTTTCGCATGACGAAAGTGGTGAGACCCGTACAGTATGTGGTCTACCAAAATGAACAACGACACACTCTGTCAGATCCTGATGTGGTGCTAGATAAATAGTCATATTCAAGGGGTCAAAGCCGTGACCGCGTAAAGGTCTTGGGAAATTCTTTTGGTGGCAAAGCCCGAGAGGTTTCCCGCTCGTCATGTCATACCCGACAGTGACAGCTACACAGTTTCCTGGGTGGAATCTTTATGCTTGTGTGCAGTGCTGAAGCCTGAAACAAGACGTGTCAGAGAAAGGGACACATGGGCCATGATGACCTTTCTGAACAAGCTGCCATGGTCACCATCCAAAGCTTCTGGCGCGAGTCATGCAAGACCCGTCGCTGCTCTCGCATGTCCTCGTCAGGCCAGCTATAATGCACACTTCTCTTGTCGCAGTTTTCCCAGCTGCGTAAGAAGTCGGCATGCTCGGAATGATCTGTCGGACGCTGCTAACGAAATCCATGCCAGGGGTCAACTCAAGGCTTGAACATCATCTTGCATCAATCTTGTTTCGAATCCGAGGTGCATAGAACACCTTCTGGATGTTCCGCACAGGATCGTTCACCTGACGAAGCAATTGCGGGATTCCACGCATGTATGAGAGTATGAATGCCTGGGCGGAGCAGAGAGCATGAAGGATCGGGCTTGCTGCGGCTTGCCCATTCCCTTCTACTCCCCTTTTGCAGATCTGCTTGTTCACACCAAGACGGGGGAGCTCCAGGAGGCCTCATCATTGTATGTCTTCTTGCAGAGCTTGACTTCAGCAGAACCTCGGCCGCACATGTCTGTCTAAACCCCCCTTGACATGACAAGTAACCTCCTCAACAGAAAAATGCATGCGATTGCGTTTGGATCTGCCTGTCTGAAACGTGTCATGAGTCACGAGTCGTTGTTTAACTAATCGTCGGTGACATCAGAACTTCGTCCGCCACACAGCAACGGCTACGTACTCCGAGGCAGCCACCAACGCTACGAAGATGACGGCACCTACTCTTAATATTGCTCTTGCTAAGAGTCTTACAGCAACTACCACTCTTCGTCGCACTCTGGCAATTGCGATTCCTCCTGCTGCTGCGACCACCGCACATACGACTAGGTACAACGCAACGACGACGGCCATTCCTCCCCATATTCCGCCAACAGGCTGAAGGTCTGTACATCCTCGCGGTCCTTGGGCCCAGTACCACGCGGCAGGTGGGCGGCCACGATCTCTCGGCAGCGCGCATCGCCTTGGTGCTGGGCGTTCTGCATCTTGCAACTACGAGAAAATCAAAAGCCACAATAACAGCAGCCAAAGGGCTTTTGCCTCTGTTCTTGAGGCGCCTGATCGTGGCACCCATCCATTTTCGAAGCTGTGCTGCATTTTCGTGGCTTTCCTTGGCACGGAAAGGAAGGTATTCTGTAGAGTGCTTGTTGAGGTTCTCCTGATACATCCGCATTCTCGAGGATACGGACATCATGCTTAAAACTTCGGCTCCGATAATTTCGTTTCGTTTCCGCGCTGATGCACTGAGGGTCCTGTGTGATGGTCCACGGTTGAAGATGCATAGGTAACTTGTGTCTGAGCCCTGTCCATGGAAAGAAGAACTCCCAACAGTCGATGCTATACTGGGAACTATGAGCCCAACCCCCTAGACCCAACAACACCCATGTACTACCAGTTACCACGACCCCTAAAAGGTGACTGTGAAATCGAAGCTTCCGAGGTGTTGAAGAGCTGCTCAAGTTCTGCCTGCCATCACTCAGGGCTTCGTGTCCTGTAGCCTGTTATGATATTCTCAGAGGATTGCTGTCTTAAACAGAAATAAACAGAAGGCTTGCAACTTCTTTCATCTTCTTTCCCTGCCACGTTCGCAGTGCCTCTGGGGTCTGCGGCTGCCACTTTGGGTCTCGCGCATTCTCAACGTCACCTGGGCTGGGCAAGTATAGAGGCGCAATGCAGAACTCATGCTGAACTCTAAATGCTTTCAAGGCACACTTCTGGAGCACCCACTTCTTCCAGAAATCTGGCGTATTCACTCGCTCGGGCTCCTGCGCTGAGGAACATTGAGCACCGAGGATCGCAAAATCCGGGCAGCAGGCTTCAGGGCACTGTCAGGACGAACATGAAGGCATCAACATGCATCAACACTTCGAAACTGTGAGACCGCCGAGCCAGCTGCCGCTTACCCCCCGCAACAAGTGCTGTGGCCATTTGAACAGCTGTTTGCAGCAGCTTGGGTGTGGCCTCCCCCTCTTCAGTCAGTCGATGTCAGTCGACATTTTAGCAAAACCTTTTTTCGTCCCGTGAAGGAGGGACGGCCACTGCACGCCTTGTCATCAAGGTTCGGAAAGAGCTCCTTGAAAATGATGACGCCATCTTTGTCCTGCGGAGCTACCATGCACGGGTTCAAAGCCCTTCCGACTCGTCGAACACAGTCCGTACTTGGCGGGCGAGCATCTAACTCCAGGCTTTGAGTTACGTGTCTCTGTAGAACCCGATCCCTGGAGGAAGCAAACTTGCAAAACCAATGAAACCATATCGCAAAAGTGCCTGTGTGTTTTGCAGCAATATATTAAAAATATATATATATATATATGTATGCATGTATGTAACGAAGTCTGTATGTATGCCTCTCTCTCTCTCTCTCTCTCTCTCTCTGATCTCGCCTACTGTCTCTATATCTACCTGTCAATTTGTATGTCTATCTATCCAAAATCTCGAAAGGCTATAAACGCCGTCACTGGGGGTGAGGACTGGTGCAACACACCCCAAAATTTGAGGCATCTGTCACTCTCTGCTATTGCATCCAGTAGGTATCTATCCATCTATCTATACCTATCTCTGCCTGCAAAAGAATGAAACGGTCACGACATCGTCACAGGAACACCCTACCTTTGCCACGAACTAACTTGGGCAGGGACACGATGAACCCCGTTGCAGTCCACATCGAACAGCTGGAAGAGATCTCTGGATCGCTGCATACCAGTGATGGCTTGCCAGTTCACACCGATCCTGTCAGCGACCCGACTAGGTAAATAATCACAAGCACCCATAAGCACCCTAAACTGCAGGATCCTGTAGCCTTTCTCTGCCTGTCTCCGGCATACATATGTCCAGCAACTCTCCACCGCCCAGCCTTCCAACTCCGTCGGCGAACTCTTGCGAACCTTGGTGTGCATAAGGAAGCCGCCAATATGCACATTATAATAACAAGTTGATTAATGTACTGAGTATATTTTGAACATAAACGTATACCAATTACACTATATTATGTGTGAAACTCTGTTTATACCCGATACTCATGTTACGTATATTGAAAGATTCCGGCGCCTGTCGTCTGATTGCATGCAAGGGCACTGATATTACCGCTGCCATTCAAGTCCAGCTTTTTGAAAGCTGCACGTGGGGCGCCCCCGCATCTTTCCTTGAGGCAAAAGCTTTGTAATGGTCTTTCAAGCCGCTGTGTATTCGTTTTGGTGCCTGAGTACTCATCATAACTGTTCTCCTCGTGTCCAAATTACCAGTAGCCTGCATGCAAAGTGGCGATCTGTATCGATCTGTACGCTGCGCAGTGCATGATTCCCCGTGCCAGTCGACTCTTCCCGAAACTGCCATGGCATGAAACGGCAGCCTGCATTGCTATGCCTTGCCGACCAAGTGACTATGAGCTCACGCCGGATGGCCTGACGATGCCTTTGCGGTCTGAAAGTGCAATCGACTGCCAGGTAAGGAGCTTTTGTCATTGGGTCGTCTGGTCTGAAACAGCGCCAGAAGCTGTCAGTTGCGTATAGCACCCGGCACACATGGGCATGAAGAATGCAGCGCGACTTGGCGTAGTGACGGCTAGTGCCGTGCCAAGCAACTCCTCCCGCCGCAGAGCGAGCCTCCGTTCTAGCCGTCTGACATTGCCGGTACTGCATTACTACACAAACTCCTGCAAAAAAGCACAAAACACAATGCTCTGTGTGCGTGTATGTGCACGCACGAGCGCGCCATCGTGGGAGGATGCCTGCCCCTAATTATGTTTGTGTTCGGGAACCGCCGTGGAACAGTACGCAACCTGCACAGCTATACGATCTGCCACAATGCCATGGACACACGCGGCTGTGTCAGGCGATGTCATGCACAGACGCACTATCTGCAAGGCTCGGCAGGATAGACAGATCGTGCACTCACTGTGTCTGACTGCAGCAATGCCTGTGCACGGGACTTTGTGTTGTGCTGAAAATGACAAGGTAGCCCGCCCTTTCAGGACTCAGACTCTAGCAGACTCTAGCAAGATAAAAGTATTACTAGCATTAATCGTATCATTATTACTATTAATAGTATCACTAGTATTACTAGTATGGCTATTAGTAGCATTAATAGTATTATTACATCGAACGAACTGCCGGAGCTGCGAGGCCCATGGATTCGGCCGAGGGTCTCCTCGGGGCTCAGCTGCGGCCGCCGAAAGAAGCCTCAAAGAGGAAGACCTACCTTTGGTTGAGGGTTACTATAAGGGATCTATAAGGGTACTATAATATAGGGGCCTTAATAATCCTATAACTTACCTTTGGTTAGTAGGGAATGGAAGAATGGTAGCAATAGTAGTTATAATTGTACCCCATTCCTCCATTCCCTACTAACCAAAGGTAAGAAGAGTGTGGAGCCGGCAGTGCATAGAAAGCTGTGGTATGCAAAACTCGTGCCAAGACAAGAGTCTAGAGGTTGCTGCAGCTGAGGGGCCGCTCTGATTCGTGCTGTGGAAGGTGCTTCGCATCCCCGACGAGTTCTCGAGTTTGAGAGAGATGCTACAGTACGCATGATGCCGCATACGAAGTGGTGAGGATCCAAAGTCAGTCCTGTGATCTCGCGGAAGCGCTCATCAGCTGCGCCTGCCTTCAAGCCAGCTTGTTGTTCAAAGCAATGGGGCAGGAGTGGCCGCAAACGATGCTCATGTCAAGCCGTTGCTGCTGCTACTGGACTTCATTTCATGCAAAGCTCGACATGACGTTTCCACCATGCAGGAAGACTAACCTTGCGCCGAGAGTCGTGAGCTTTGCTTCCTTCTCTTTTTGTCGCTGGTCAGCAGCGTCAAAATATTCCTTGAGGGTAATGTGCGAGTCCTCGGCCACCTTGAGACAGCAACATCACTCAGAGGTCCTATTAAGTCCTCATTATAGGTATTTAGGCCCCCTACCCACCCTCCCCCCTACCCCCCTCAGGGTCCTTGTGAATCAGTGCTTCAAGACAGAACAAAAGCCCATCTCTGCACACCGGCTCTCGTCCCTCGGCCCTCGGTTCCGAAGAGAGCCTCGGGCTCTTCCTCTACGACGTCGACCCGTTTGCGGTCCAGCTCTGGTGCAGTCTGCGACCGCAGTTCACCTGTGCGGCTGAAGGCAGGAACCGATTCGTGGCGTCATTCACATCATGACAGGGCAGCGTGGCCTTTAAAAACTTTGACGGGCGACAGGAGAGGATAAAGGCGAAACTCAAGGCGAGCTCTTTGCATGAAGCTGCAGCTCAGGTGCTTGCAGGCTTCTCGTCTGCAGGTGGGGATTGATTACTCCTGCAATATGCGCATTCTGCGCACCAAGTCCGCTGTCCGGAACGCAACATGTCACACAGATACTTGCAGAATGGATCGCACTCACTTGCCGCAGATGTCCCTGAGCATCCTCTCCTGCCAGCTTCCGACTCTGGCGGTCTTGCAGGGCTCGTGACCTGCACTGCATTGACCTGCGGACAAGTCCCGACCCGTCTTCTCATCGAGGAATGAGAAATTGAAAACACAGGAGACGAAAAAGGATGTCAAAAGCAAGAGCAGCTAGGTGGTGTCCACAAAGCTCGGGCTCTGACATTTTCTTGCATATGTATACACACTTACATAATTCATCCATGTGTCTATCCAACTGTCTATCCATCGATCTGTCTATCCGTCGAGCTATTTGTCGATCTACCAAGTTCAAGCCGTCGAATCTGCGCATCTGTTATTCACGTTCCGTTGTCTGTTTGTACTTGTGTGTAGGAACTGCGCGCACGCACGCACGTGCGCACACACACACACACAAAGACACACACACACACACAGAGACACACACGCATACGTACGTCCATGCCAACAGACAAGCAGTCTGACAGACAGACAGACAGACAGACTGACTGACAGATACATGCACATGCACGTATGCACGCATGTACACACGTACATACGTACCCGCATACATACATTTTAGCGTGGCTTACACATACCGGTATACCTATATAAATACATTGTAGAAAGCTGCACAGTGTAGATAGATATGCAGACGACATCTGCATGCAGAGAGAGGTGGAGATAATAAAAAACAAGATAACTACGGAAGAGCAGAAGAAGCAACAACGATGTACAGAAATCACGGTTTTAAACAAGTACATACAGCAGGATCTATGTTAATACAGACATACATATATTGCGCTTTTGTAACCGTTCGTGTCTTCTTCTTGCTTCTTTAATTATGTCTCATATTTATTCAAACTATCGCGCGGTCTCTGCCGTCTGTACAGACATGGCCGCCTCAGGCTTTCTCGAGGCTTCCTGCAACGCTGCCTGGCCACAGATTTCACTGCCTATACCCACTCCGCGGAATGATGCCGCTGGGCTTGGGGTGGAACACCGGAGAGCTCCAAACAGGTATGATGCCGGGAAGAGGTTCCAGCTGGTCGCTTGTGCACACACCGTACTAAGGCACAAATGCTACAAACTCCATCGGCACTTCAACATCTCTGACCTGGCCTGAAGAGCTTGGATCTGCTCGGTGACTTGAGCCTGGGCTGAAGAAGCGTCGTGAGACGCAGGCTTTCGAAGTTTGAAGTTGTTACACAGCATGGGCAACGGGCGTGCGGGACAAATAGCAGGATGCTGATGACAAGGATCTGAGAAACTCCGACTCTGCTTTGTCTACGCGCTCACCCCTCCCCGACAAGCAAGCAACTGCATGTTTCTGGTGGAACTCGAACTTCTCGCGGTCCTTGACAGTTTTCTTGTGCACCTGACAGGCATGCTACTCAAAGTCTTCCGTCGTGTCAGAAACTTCGGGCTCAGTAAGGCTGAAGAGCCGGCCTTCTTCTCCAGCAGCATGGAGTCAGAGAGGCAAGTTTCGAGCCTGTGGAGCTCTTCCTCGTTCGCAGCTGCGTCGTCACACGCTGCTCTTCTTGGGCCATGGGGGGCACTTGGGTGTAAAACACCATGCCGGGGTCCTTCTCCGCCTTCTGCTGGGCTTTGAGCCACGCCAGTTGCGTTTTCATGCGATCCTTGGCTGCCGTGCACATCTTTTTGTCCTACATCCCTTTGACACTCGCTCCACAGAAGCGCCGAGCGACCACCTGTTCGTCCTTGGCTCCACTGGGAGGTAATGCCAGTATGCGTGGGGCCGCCACCTCCTTGCATCAACAAGGTCGAGCTATCCATGAGAGCTTAGCGAGCAGCCAAGCCCTAAAGCCTAAACCCCTAAACCAGACATCGATAGCGAACCCCAAAGTATGTGGGAACTCTGGGAACTTCGCCTTGAGTGGGTCCAGTCGGACCTGCGACTTCGGCCGTGGTGGCTCCTTCATCAACGACCTCCATTGCAAGGTTACGGTACATGGAAGTGAAGACTCTTCAGGTCGCAGCGACTTTGTCCCGTTGATACCATTTTTGCAGCTTCGTGGCAGGCTCACATATCTTGCCACATCAGAGTAGCGGATGTCCGGGGCTCTTTGTGCTTGTGCTGCCGCCTCATTGGAACAAATGGCGCGCTTGCAGAACGACTGCTTTGGACCTCCCGCTGCTGGGAACTTTGACTTGCTGTTTAACTCGTGAGAGCTTATCTGTATTCCGAGGGCAGTCGAGCTGCCATGATGAACGGCACGTGCCGTCTGCCGGCTGCGCACCACCTGCCCAAAGCAGACGCATCCCTTTCGCGCTTAGTGCCTTCGATCTGGCGCTACTGGACTGGATGGCTGTAGGCCTTCAGCACCCTTGGGGTGGCTGGTGGCTGCATGCTTGAGCCAAGAAGGCCACAGGGGCATGTGTGCATCCATCCCAAACACGGCTGTCGGGGGAGATGCCGCGGCGGGGAGCAAGGGCCACTGGCCAAGACATGAGTCGGACTCCAGCAGAGCTTTTCTACTCATCTCCAGCAGATGAAGAGTTGCGAATGTTCCTAAACATTCCGGAGTGCTAACCAGACAGGCCGTCCGGTCACACTTAATTAATTTTGCTATTGCGATGCTTCAGCTTAGCTGATGCATTCCTTCGATGTGTGATGGGCCGAGGTAGCTTGTCCACGCTAGGCTCAATCGCAGTGATATCGAGAACGGGTGGGTCCAGGCACCATCGCTGCCGACCAGCCTGGGATCATCGTTACCGACCAGCCTGGACCTGTCGTTGCGTTGACTCGTAGCGTGTACAGTACCTCTGCCAATTGCAAAGCTCAAAACTGCAGCAGCAAAATTCGCCTTCTCGGAAAGCAGCAAAGTCTGCTCGTGCTGCTTGCGCATGAAGCGCTCACCAGCACATGCAATGCAGATTTCGCTGCTCACCACAAAGGAAGCTCACAAAAGATGGCAAGATCTGCCACCCAAGCAGCTCACACGTCCCCGACTTCTCGGCGGCCGTCAACTGCTTTGTTGTAAGCTTGTAAAGCACTCAGCATTCCGTGACATCAGCGGAGGCTCATCCTGAGAAAGCAAGCGATCTCCCGGAGTAATGGTGTCAGCCGTGAAATGACTGTTATGGGTACTGCGCAGTGGAGAAAAAAGCGCTAACTGGCCCCTGCTGTTCTGCGTCACGAACATCTGTTGACAAAGCTTGCTGCTCTGCATTCCTTGAAGTGAAGCAATACAGTAGTTGCACCATACCTCGAGCCCCCCCCCCGTCCCCCCCCCCCCGACCTCGCCTTCTGCACCGGCACTGGCGAGTTCCGAAGTCTGTGGTGTTTGTACCAGTCTCACCTCGCACGGACCACGGGCTCAGCAAGTCGGAGGCTTTACCCTCAGCCTCGCTGCTTCCGCCATGCAGACTTCGCTCAGGGTCGGATGCTTCTAACAGACGGGCCCCGAAGAAACGAGGAAGTGGCAACTTTGCCTGATATATAATGGAAACTCTCGTACTCTACAGAGCCCAAGCTCCCTCTTTTTGCGAAGAAACTCTTAACTTGCCATGAAGCCAGTGTCAAAACCCCAAATCCGAAAGTCTCTGAGTTCACCTGCTGATCCTTTCCGGCGGGCCACTACATCTTCGCGGAAGTCGAGAAAACACTGATCTTGCAGCTCGTCCGTGTTCTCGCAGGTGTCCCACGAAACACCTTGGGGTTCAAGGGGTGCTTTTTCGTGCTGCTGCCACAATGCCACAATGATTGCTAGAATTGCGCTTAACACCAAAGGAAGAGGTGTCACCAGGCCAAAACTTACCAATAAACCCTGGCAGCACCATGGGCATTATGGGACACCAACCGTGCCTAAATCAAAGAGTTTGACAGGGGCTTTCATGAAGAGCGTCGCGCAAAAAGATATAGACACAATGCAATCTACTCGAACTTCAAGCCCTGGTTGCACGCTAACTTGCAGTCTCACTGGCTGCGGGGCCTCTGTGAGACGGAAGAATGCATCATCACTTTCAACCCAGATAAAAAGCTCTTGCTAATGTGCTAATGGTATCCAAGCATGTAATACAAGCCTTTCAGACACATGCAGGTGGGCCACGTGCCTGCATGCCTCGCGCATGCGTGACGATTGCAGGGACCCAGCTTCCATCCGTAAAGTACACCTCCACCTAAGCTTTGCCCGCGCCAGTCTTCTACTACCGCTGCTGCTGTCGCGATCGCAAAGGATGGAACTAGTCCCAAACTTTGTGCTAGACCGGAGAAACGGAAAAGAATTCGGAGCTCTCTCCAACGATATGAGGCGTGGACTCTCTGTGGCCCTGTCATTGGTCCAAGGCCCGTCGGCCGGATTGGCCGTGTCAGTATAATTTGGCGACGACTACATTGCAGTATACGTGCAAGATTGTCGCAGCATGCATATCTGTTTTTGTCTTTGACATAAGTCTACGTATCGACTTGACTGTCAATCCATCTACACATCTTTGTGTATACCTATCTCTCTATACATCCACCTACCTACCTGTCTATCTACCCGTCTATCCATCCATGCCTTGACGCATGCTATGCCATCACATATGTATGTAAGCATGGAATTCTGCATGTATGTAGGCAGGCAGGCAGGGATGTATACTATGTTGCGTACCCGCGCGCATGTGTGTGTGTGTGTGATACGACATACTTTTGCCCATGCGCCTATCCACATGCATAGAAGTTGCAGACAGCTGTGCAAGCCGAGTTCTGCCAGGCAACTCGCGTCCCAACTGCGGGAGCTGTCTCCAGAAGGTCGGCCAGCTCTTCCGGATCTTCCGACTCAGAGTCGGTGCACTCGGAATTCGAGAAGTCCTAGCAACAAAAGCGTTGCCTCCCTCGCTGTGCCTGTTGGCCTATAGTGTAGATGTAGCTGTTATATACAGAAATAAGAATATTTTTCCACCCTTTCCGACCCAGCATTCGGCAGGTCAGGGCACTAGCATACATCCCCGAAACAGCAGTACTAGTAAGAATAGTACTATGACAGCCTGTTGCCTACGAGCTGGATCACCCTGCCTCGAGCTCCTGAGCGCTGCTGACGGTCTCTGAGTCACCTCTCAGGGGCCCTCAAACCCAAAGCGCAGAGCGGTTGGAACTGGGTCAAAGACCCAGAGGGTGACATATAGTAACAGCAGTAGTAATAACAACAATAATAAAAACAACAGCAATAACAACAAAAGTAAATAATAGCAACAGCGAACACCAATAGCAATAATAATGTAGTGCCTTGGTCGCTGGCAGAGTCATCCGGATGCTCTGCGCGGGTGCCATCCGTCCCCTCGCTCTCCACGTCTTCCTGCGCCAACTTCTCCTTGCTTGGAGGGCCAAAGGCCTATAGTGAACCCCAGAAGGTTGGAACATGGATTTAGGACGATTAGTGCTTGGGGGATCTCCTATACTTTGAGGGGAGTGAGGAGAATGATGTTCCAACTTTCTGGCTTCTACTGTAAGTGGGTTTCAGTGGGCGCAGGGATTGTGCGGGATCGAACTCTTCAGCAGTCTGCTGCGAGGAGATGACAGCGGTTTGTGCTACCCTGTTGGGGGATACAAACTGGATGGCAGGATCCTTGATAGAAGGACCCCGGACCCTTAGACTGTATCCTGAGTTCTAAAGCATCCCTCGCGTTGTCTTGAAGGGGAGTCCTCGCAGGGCTCCGGCAAAGTGGCGTCCACGAAGGATGCCTCTGTTTCCTCTGGAGCTCCTTCCCAGACCCTTTTTCGGATTTAAGGGCGGCGTGTTTTGAATGATCATTATATTTTTTGCGAGGGTTGAGGGTGCAGAACTGGCATCAAATCGCCATCCTCACAGCTAGTCCCTCGTCCCGTCCTTTCCAGGGTTTGGGCGACAAGCCCTCCTCCAGCAGCTGCAGATTGCGAGTTTCCTCATCTAGCTCCTCAATTGCCTGGGGCCGCATTGAGAATCGACAGTGGTAGAATGGCCTCATTATGTGGATTCCAGCCTCTGGACCAAAACAACGTGAAAACATCGCGATACCGATTTTAGGAGGCATCCGCATCGCTTAGAGTACTCGTGGGGACTCGAGCCCTCGGCCAGCCTGCCCTTTCCGCAGCAGCGTAGAGATAGAGAGCGGCAGGAAGAGCGGGAAATGCTGGGCTGAAGCATCCTCCCCAGAGCCAGGGATAGTTGTGTTGCGTTTGTACGCTGTTTTCCCAGTCTGACAAATCGGGCTTAGAGTTCAGCGACGCTCACCGCTCAGATGTGCCGGATGAGGCACGTTAAGCATGCACTACCAGGCCTCCACTGTGGACTCGGCTGGTCGCTCCTTGTAAGCCCGAGCAACGCTTGAATGCTCATACTGACGCATGCCACCACGTGCTTGTTGTTGCGGTTTTCAGTTCAGATGCGATTCGTGCTTCCGTCATCATGCAGGAATGTCGCATGTGGAGCACGGGATCGGATGGACATCTCAACATCGTCCGCGGAAAACACAAACGGACATGCTCGAGCCGTAGTCTTCGAGATTCCGAATGTGCTCCATGCATCTATCAATGTCGACAGACCGTCGACACATCTATTGAAGGTAGATGGTCCGACAGAGTTTTTGTCGGTTTGAAGTGCCGCACATATAATTTGCATCATGTAGAATAGAGAATGCATTGCTTTCAGACCCTTGACTCTGTAGTATTCCCAACTGTCCTTCTCATCGAAGCAATAGCTTGGAGCTTTGTATTCTGTCGTGGAAGCCTGGCAGGTGTGCGGCTTCACCGGATCAGTACAGCGGTACAGCAAAGCATTGAGCACTGCATACAGGGGGTTGCATACCTGAGCTCTTGCAAGACAAAGTCAGCCCCACAAACGCCTGTGATTGAAGCATCTGCGCGTGGCGACAGATGGATTTCAAAGTGCCGATTCTGACTCGCGATTGGTATGCCTGCTAGGCTAACAAAACATCTCTGCAGCTAAGCTCGTATAGAAGCCGAGGATCAGCTGCTGTTGGCAGCTATGTTGTGTGGTTCATGACAGTCAGTCTTCAAATCATTAAAGCTGGTAGTGAAACGGGCCCTACAGCAACCGAGCCGAAACAAAGGGTTGAAGTCGCACAGAAGCCATGATCCTGTATGTCATCTTCTGTGATCGAGCTCATACACCGCTGCGAAGCTTGCGTCCTGTCGTCTTCCGTTTCAGCTGCCAAAACAGTGACACCCTCCAGGTTTTGATATCTAAAGCCTGGAACTCTTGAACGGCTGCTGCCTCCACCAAGCTGAAGTGCATTGTCCCGTCGTACAGATGGACCACCTCACAGACATGAGTCGTGCAGACCTCCCCGAATGTGCCCCTTCGCCGACTACAGGCAAATTGACAAGCGCAGATGTTTCACTCAGTTGCGTGCACGCAGGATCTCTGTCTTGGCAGTCCTGTGCAATGCCGGCTCACATCAGAAACCCCAATGTAGCCCCGTTGCAGCATGGCATCCTTTTGTGAAAGACTCAGCTCGAGTCCTACCGTTTACATCAGCCCAGGTGTGCCACGAACCGTCCGGCGCCCGCTCGCCCGAAAGGCGGGCCTCCAGGGAAAGGTGGCATGTGACTAACATACCATCACATTTACGGTCTCGTGTCAGACTACTCGGGGTTCGTCTTCGGAGGTCCTTATGTGCAGGATATAATTCAGGATCCATTCCAGGTCTGTGTCATGGGTGCCTCATGTTCTGAAATGCTGCTTTGCTGGGTGAAAGTGTCCCGGCCTCCAGGGTGCGCGGATGAGGTGCCTTGCTACAAAAACTGAGACGGCGAGCTCAGGAGGTTTTTTATGGGGCCCTGGCCACGGTGCCGGTGCAGAGTGCGAGGTAGACCTTCTTGACTTGCCGTGTAGCAAACCGAAGCCTGGCATGCAACTCGCCGTGGCGATAAAGCTTGCAGTCTACAGCAGATCGGAGGGGCTCTTTTTTTGTCGCCTTATGGCGAGGGATTGTGATCAGCGCCCCGGCATCTTACCAGGGAAGCATGTCTGCCACGTGGTCGTTTGAACCACGGCCGTTACATTAACGTACACACCAGAGGAGCAGCCTCCGAAAAAGGAGCCGTGACTCCTCTGTCTGGGCATACTCGGGATGAGGGGACAAGACCACGGCACGGCCTTCGGATGGACTTTGCCAGGCCCAAGCGGCTGCATGGCCCTTCATCGAGGGCCAGCCTTCGATCCGGTCATCTTGGCAGTCGGAGAATACGGCGATCGGAGTGGGTAAGCTGGCACAGGGGATGAGGACGTCCTCCATTGGCTCCGTTGACTCTGGCATCCTACCCGGCTGGTAGTTGTTGTACGCTTCAGGCACCCAAGAAACTAAGAGTGGTCCGTTGGCATACCTCAATCTAAGAGAGGGCAGATCTGCAAGCCCCAGGATTCGCTGACCCTCACCAGTCAGCGAGACCGTGACGTCACCCACTCCTCTCCTCCAATTCGCATTGTCATGGGGGAGAGCTGGAAAAGCATGGCCCCAAAGTGGGAGATCCCTACAAGACAGCCAGTGTGCGCCCGCGCAAATGCCCAGAACTGAGCCTCCTTCATGCAAGTGCCGCCGGATTTCTCGTCGGCCATCGGCCCCCAATCGCTCGGCATGCTCGTTTGCCATGCCACCATGAAGCAAAACTACATCTGTGCGCCGCAAGAAGGATGGCAAGGCCTTTGGCTCAACTATTGGCCGTTGCTCCGCATCGGGAACCAGCGGCCCAAAAATCTCTTGCAACTGCTCAGCGCCTTTTCCCAGGTCGACAAGGACGAGCCGGCGGCCTTCAGGTAAGGCAAAGCCCCCCTCCTGGCTCAGCTGCCGAATTGCGGGCAAACGCGATGAAGCCGGCGACAGCTTGATCAACGCCCCACCATCTCGAAAAGTCCCGGTCAATGCGTCCTGATCGAAGACGGGGGCATCGATGTTTTCCACGCGGCTTCGGCTGTCTCCGAGTTGTGAGCTCTCGATCCCCATCGAGGCCCAACTAATAAGTGCCTCGATGAGGGCATAGCTGGACTGGGACGTGCCAACCTCCACATTCGGTGAGACGGCCACGAATCGCCCGCCGAATGGTTTGATTTCCCCCGCGATCACCGCAGGCATTCCCAGCAGCGATGTCTTCGACTGGCACTCGTTCATCTCTGTCTGGTAGGTGAGGAAAGGGACCCCCATCCCACACTCAAGATCAAGAGGGCCACCCAGAGCCTGGTATTCTGCTCCCATCATGGGCACAAGAGCCGGGCCGTTGAAGTATTGAGACTGAATTCCTTCAGCATCTTGCAGAGTCTGCAGGGATCTTACACAAGCTTCGCCAAAGGTGGAAAGCGCCATCGTAACTTGCCCAGTGCCGCGATTCCAATTGCGCCTGTCATGAGCAAAAAATGGCAGCAGGCCGAGGCAGCCCTTGTTGCAGCCACAGAACGTAGACCCAGATGCAATTGTCAGCAATGACCCTCCGCCGGCAAGGTGTTGGGTCAGCATATGCTTCTCAGCTTCCTGAATGTACTTCGAGTGCTCCGTGCCACCATGAATCACGAGCACACACCTTCCCACAAGGTCTGCGTTGTCATCACAGAACTCTGCCACCGTCATGAAGCGCCCACACGGAAACAGCTTGAAGAAGCTTGCTTTGACCTTTGCCATGCCCTTGCCGACGTCCAGAACCACGACAGGAACGTTCGAAGTGTTGCCTCCTGGCTCACTGCGCCAACTTGATGGGACACTGGGCCATGCCACCTTGCTGACCGTGTCGTCTGCCAAGCAACCGACCACCTGACTGGCTTAGCACACCGGGGGCGAGGTCTTAGGAAGGCAAACTCTACTGTACTGGCACGCACAACTTGTCACAACTTATGAGCAAGGCCAGCAATGCACTCCTCCCTCTCGGCCCTCTCGCTCCCTTCACACGAAGGCCAGCTTAGCTTCGTGTTCTCTATTCCAACTCGAGTGCAGTCAAATCCCTCAAAACTGAGGGCTCAGCCATGTCCAGTGTCGCAGATGAGGGAGCTTCTGGTGACGCTGTCTCATCCTTCCTCTGCCCAGTGCTCGCAGAAGGAGCTATTGGTGACGCTGCACCAATGCTTCTCTCCCCAGTGCTGGTTCCACAACCCATGGCTCAGCTGAAACCAGTGGGCGGAAACCCATGCACAGGAATCTTCAAGTGTCTGCATTTGCGGGCGTGCTTCTCTTTTCGAGGTGCCAGGAACACCGCAATGTGCTAGCTATCTATCCAATTTATATATATATATATATATATATATATATATATATATTGCGCGCGTGTGTGTATGTATGTCGAAAAATTTTAGTTATTATAGATATTCGTTCGTCTAATACGCATGCAGAAAATGCATGTTTTGCCAGTCGTGAAATGCCGATTGATTGTATCTGTACGAGAGTCATGTCTCTACTAGATTCGTTTTTGACTATACTTGCACACGTCTCGATTCTCTTCCTGAAACTTCCGCCGGCCTCGCATGAGCGTTGCTTTCGGAACCTTTGAACATACGTGCACCCACCTCGGCACCACAACGACGAAGATAAGCTGCTTCCGACCAAGAGAGCATGGGATCGTCTTCGGTAGAGTAGTTACTGAGCATCGCATGTGCATCGCGCTCAAGCTTAAGCAGCCCTCGTGCATTAACTCGCGTCCTCGCAGCTGCAGAACCTACCCATGCCCCGACCACCCGACATCAGCTGCCTGACCCCATGGTATGGAAACATAGCTGAGATGCGGAGCCCCGACTGTCCCGGCTTGATTGCTGTGACAACTATCCGCATCGAGCTTGACTCCACAAACAAGCGCGGCAGCTCCGCTGTCCCAGTAAATGGCCTCTGTAGGTCGTGGCGCACAGCACGATTCCTGTCAGGTCGCAATTTCGAGGTCTTTGCTTGCTTCCAGGGATACAGTCGTATTTACCGCCTGCTGACCTTGTGGCTGACTTTGCCACGTGCTGGTGGTAGTGGCGATGGTGGCGGGGGTTGTGGTGAGTTAGTGGTTTTGAAAGTAGTTCACATGACATTTCGAGCATGCAGTCATACAGCTCTGTATGAGTACTTCCATCACTAGGTACAACGCCAGCTACTCTTGCTACCACACCTGCCTCATGACAGCCATCAATACTTTGGCTGCTGCTTCCGGCTACCTAAGCTGATACCGCTACGCGACGACGACCACTACCAGCTGCCACTGCCACTGCTGTCACGATTCCACCACTCTACGACCAAAGAGAAACAAGGCTAAGCGCTGGGTACATCCGGAAATGTAAATATTAGAGGGACGTAGCTGAGATTGCGCATCTGGCTTGCTGTCGTGCTTTCGGTCGAGATCCCACGAGATCGCATGGAAGAACGGCTCCTGCGGCTGCGAGGCTCCTCCTCTGATAGGGCTCGAAATTTTCAGCCCCTGAAACCACGATGAACCTGTAAACACAACGTGTTTTTCTCCATCCCACCCGTGCCTGAGGTAAACCGATCCAAACGATGAAGGAGGCCATAAGACTTGGAGGCATCAGCACAGACCTGAGCGACCCGAGCATATCCCACAATGGTCGAGAACCGATCACGGAGTGAAGGCTAGAACCGCTCGCTCCCCCCAAACAAGTCTTCTGCGGCAGGGCAGGCCCGTTAGGTCCTCCATTCCAAAACACTAGGTGATTGAACCCGACTTTTTCAGCGGTCGCATTCCGAGCATCTGCCTTCTCAGATGGTTGGGTGAGGCCTTCAGGTCTGTCTTGGGGAAATGCACCGCAGCGCACCAACTCCTCGTATTTACCAATAGGGCAGGGGCCCTCTTGAAAAACTCATGGAGCTACGGCTCTGTGTCCCGGACGGGATGCCTGCAGCCAAGGTTCTTCGCCACCTGCGCAGGTGTGGAAGATGTTGGAAGGCTTCGACCCAACAATTGTCGTGCTCCGACTCTGAAACTCTGCCGGTTTGGTCAGCTCAGACGGCAGCTTCGAGCACTCTCTGCTGGTCTTTGCAGCTGCTGCAGGCTTGGCTTGCGAGCAGCGAGGCAAGAAGTGAACGTAAAAATCTCAGATGCACACTAACCACACGTTTTGAAGCCAGAGCACAACCAGTCATTTGCCAATTATTGCTTGCAACTTCAGCAAACAAAGCTCTCATGTGTGGCACTGGCTTCACTCGCAGTTCGGCACATGGGGCCTCCTGTTGTGCATCGCAGTGTGCTAACGTCTATCCCCAGTGGGCCCAAGCGCAAGTTGAAGTCCCTGAGACATCGCGGTAACTTCAACGGAGCCAGGCCCAGGCAACCTCTCAGATCCGAGGGAGAAGTGGATGTGGCCTGCGACCGAGCTCAACAAAAGCACATCTTACGTCATCTCACAGCAATGCGGCCCAAAAAACAGCTCGGGGCCGGATGTCAATTTCTCCTTTTCTGTGGCAGGCCCTGCGAAACGCTAGTTCCTGCAAGCTCACCCCAACATGTGCCCCGATAGCCCCACAACAATCGCCGTTTCCGGCAGTTGTGGGACTCCGCCCCGAATTAGTTCCACTGGCCAGAGCTCAGCAGCTCAGGTCACCAGTTGCGCTCTGCGGCACCTGAATTCTGAAAGTCTGCGTCACTAGTTCTTGTGATCCCTTGGCAAAGTTGCGGTGGGACTGCATCTTCCAGGTGCCCCTAGCATCGGACTGCTGACACCTCCACTTTTCAATTATTATTAGTTGCGATAGTGGCAACAGCAATGACAAAAGTAATGGTGTCAAAGTGGCAGTCAGGATCGCCCCTTCGGATTAACGGATGCTGTACCCTGGCTTCCAAAACCCAAAAACCATCGGCGCCTTACGACTTCCAAACCTCAAAGTGCCGACCAAGCGCGCCACCCTGCTGCAGCTGCCTTTTCCGGGCCTAAAGATGTTGCGCAGAGAGCACATGCCGCGAGATTGCAACAGATGTTTCGACTAAAGCATACCCCTGCAAACACTAGACCCTTGATCACAGAAACTGCAGAAACGCCCTTCTGAAAGGAGCTCTCGGTGAACCCGGGAACAGAGAAGAGGGCCTCAAACAAAACAAAGCATGTTAGAGCTTATTGACTTTGTGAGACAAACAACGGGCAATGCAACAAACCAAGTAAGAGTGCGGCCACGATAAAACATGGCCGTTTCAACAATACTTGCACCGAGTATCGCATCGAACCGTCCGCTCCCGTATGGAACCGAACCGAAGCATTTGGGACCGCACCAAACCGGAACCTCACCCCCATAGCTCTCCTCCCCTCCCCCTCCCACGCACCTCGCGCCCATCTCCCTCCCACCCTCCCCCCCACCAAAACACCCTCCCACCTCCGCCCACCGCCTCCCACCTCCTCCCACCCTCCCAACGAAACTTCTTGACTGTGCACTTCCCTCTGCATAGCAGTCCCAACCGCACCTTAAGCCCTAGCTCTGCGTGACAACCTTAGACTACCGACCTTAAGCTTGGACGTCCATACAAATTTTGTTCTAGATGTGATAAATCCATGGCCGTTTCAACAATACTTTCACCGATATCCGGGACCGCACCAACCCGAACCCAAACCCACCACTCCCCACTCTCCACTCCCCACCTCCCCCACCTCCTCCCACCTCCCACCCCACCGTCCCACCTCCCACCCCCACGTCCTCCCACCTTCAGTGCTACGGCTGCTAGAGATATGCATTCTGTATTCTACCAAGCATTTGACTCAGAGACACACACTGCAGCACATCACAATTGTCAGTTTCAGCACATGCAGCGAATCTCAAGCTCGCAATGCACACTGGCAGAAGCCACGCAGTGTTGCAAGCTTGGGACTCAAGGCTTGGTGCTGCCAAAGCTCTGGCCAACATCCTTTACATACTGGCTTCCAGGGTTCATCGTTGCACTCAGCCTTCCTCTAAGCTCGCTTGTGCCCGTACTTATTGACTTATTGCTCAGTGGATGAGCCTCTCAGATGCTGCCCAGCACCAGCAGCAGTATTGAAAAGGCCCACTCCACTTGTTGCTCGGCTGACTCCATGGATGCTAAAATTGCTTCCCTGGGTATTTGCGTACAGATGAGGTTGCAGCTCCATGAGCTTGCGGATCAAGAAGCCCTTCAAGCCAGCCCAATCTTCAAGGATGCAGCTCCATCTGAACTCAACCCTCATCCCTCCCATCCTATCTTGGCTAAGCTCCGTCATCATTTGCAGGATATAGGCGAATTTATCTCTTTGTCTTGCCATCCACTGGTTGGTTTTACCCTTGGCAGACAAACCTGGCATTCCCAGTGCCTTGATAACATGCACCAAGCCCCCTGGGTAGAACTTCGCCTTGCTGAGATAAGGGCTCTCTGCACGTTGTTCACGTGCTCTGCAAGTTACTCCTCCTGCCCCTTGGCCCAATCTGCCCAGCATAGTGTACTGCTCGACATTCTGCTCGACCATATTGGCTTCGAACCACCAGGTACATCACCGAAGCAAACCCCAGGCAATGCCAACCGCACCGACTCGAACCGCAACACCCATATAAAAAGCGTTAGCAACTAGCAATGACATGTAGCCGCAACAGGGTTAAAACTGTCAACATAGAAGTTTTCCTATGGGCTTCGCAGTTCAACAAACAGGACCAAGAAGGGCAAGCCAAGATCAACAGAAAGTCGAAATCAGGTCAATATCAGGGTTTTGCTACAGTATGTCAGTATGGCTGCCATGGTTTTTGGCAGAGAGGAGCAAGAAGGCCCAAGCGAAGGCTTCCGAAGGCGGAAAAGAAAGTCGAAATAACATCTGGCCAAGAAGTGCAAAACCAAAGTCACGAAAGATGAGAATAAGGCCGGACAAGGCTCAGCGGCAGGTCAGCATACGTTAGCTCGAAATGAGGTTAAAACAGAACCGAAGCAAAGGCTTTCCTGTGGTTCTTAGACGAAAGGACCAAGAAGGTTCAAAACAAGGGCCGGCTGCAATCGGCCTATGACAGCAATACGATAACTCCGCCTTGCTTGGAATGAAACTTGCCGGCAGCCGTGAGCACTGGTCCAAAACGCTGCAGCACAACAGATGCACAGTCAGACGGAAACAGTACGTGCATGGCCGCGCAAGCTGCGGCAGAACAATAATGGCGGATACATCTGGCCTTGTAAGACAGCACACATGCATGCAACACGCACGCAATTGGTCATGTCCAGCCGACACGGGCCAACGCACCTCTTCGGGCCTGGGTTCGCTTGACTTTGCATCAGGAGTCACAGTCGCAGCAACAGGCGCGAGCAGGGGTAAGCCGCTTAGCACAGCGGCCCACCCGCCCGGGGACGGCCATGACGCTCAGACCTGAACTGAAAACAGGTCGTGAGGCTTTGGACCCCTTCCGGCTCCCGTTCAAACCTGCCACAGACAAATCGACGCAGTTGTGTTCCAACTCGTCGTATTCCTCATCGGGCCAGTCCGCCGCCATGTTGGCGATGATTCTGGCGACCTCCCGCTCGGAGAGGATCGTCAGACCGAGGAAGACAGACCGATTAAACGTATGGTTTGTGCTCCCCTCTGGCCGGCAGCAATTTATCCTGGGTTCAAGCTCAACAGGAACGCGGACCCTGAGCATCGCACGAACCCCATTCTAACACATCGGACGGTCTCTTTGTGGCATGCAAGCAACGCCGTTCCACAGACACGCGTCCCCGAGTTGGTGAACAGGTTGCCGCTGCCTGCAAGGCAGCTCCAACCCCCAGTCCTGCCAAACCCCCACCAGGCCTTGCCAACACATCCCAACCGCTCGCACACAAGAGCCAAAGCCACCCAAGACCCTATCGCAGAAACCCTGTCCACAGGAATACTCAAACAGACTTATTGCTTTCATACTGTCTTCGGGGTTTAGATTGGTTGGGGGAGGAGCTTGAGAGGGGAGATCTGGCACCTGTTGCCGATAAAGACCCTGAAGCCCCAAGCATGTGAAGCCCGTAAGACCCCCAAGCCCAAGACCCTTAAGCCTCAAACTGGCGCACCCGCCCCGTAACGGTCTATATTAGGGGTCATATTAACGGATACATATATATATATATATGTATATACATACACATGTGTAGTATACATAATATCCAACTGGTACAGAATGGGTGCAGTACCCCACCGAAACTTCCGAAAGCCCAAAGCCCTGAGCTCCTTTGCTGACCGAGTCTCCAAGGCTCGCTCGCGGTTCGCCTGGCGAAGGAACTACGAGATCCCGCTTCCGGATTTGCGCCGTGAGATATTAACGGTTCTGCTATAATCACATATTATATAGATATAAATATCGATATAGATATAGATATAGATATAGCTATACATGCAGGTATAGATACATATATATACACATGTATATAGCATGCGATACTCAAGGTTTGTGCCTTGATACGCTCCTTCATCGCCTCCTCCGGCGAAAGGGTCGTCGGGTCTTGCACCTGCGCTTCTACGGCATCCATGGCTCACGACAGCTCTTACCTTTGGTTAGAAGGGAATCGAGGAATGGGGTACAATTATAACTACTATTGCTACCATTCTTCCATTCACTACTAACCAAAGGTAAGAGCTTCCCGATACACCGCCCTGGCAGCCAGCAACTCCACAGCTCCCTGGTAGTGCACATGACTCAACCACTTGGGCCACCGTGCTCTGAATTTTCGACGTCTCCCACTGCGCAAAATACGTATCCAGCATGGGTCGACATGCCAACTCACCTACAAGTGAAAATTGGACAGGGCTGTATCAGATACTCCGGGCCAGACTGACTGACAGGCTGGCATAGGCTGGCGTCAAAGGGATTAGAAGCCTACAGTAGGGAAGGCACTGGCAAAGTCTTCCACCTGGCCCTTCAACTCCAAGAGCTTTCCGGGCGGACTCTCTGCAAGCACTCGCTTGAAGTCCACCAGCTTGGGCCCACTCTGCTTCTGCACCTCAGCTGCGACATCTACGGCTCCGCCAATGAACTCACCGATCTTCACGAAGTCATCCTCCATCAATCCTCTTGAAGTCATGGCAGGAGCACCCACACGAAGGCCGTTGGGGTTCATGGCGCTCTTGTCTCCAGGGATCGTGTTCTTGTTCAGGACGATGGAAGCCATCTCACAGACCGCCTCAGCCTTGGAACCGTTGACACCCTTGGACCGCAAGTCAATCAACACCAAATGGTTGTCAGTGCCACCGGACACCAAGTTGAAGTTGCATCGCTGAAGGGACTCGCCCAAAGCTTTGGAATTCTTCATGACTTGCTGGATGTAGGTCTTGAACTCAGGCTCGCTGGCCGCCTTCAGCGCCACGGCTAGTGAGGTGATGCTCTGGTTGTGAGGGCCACCCTGGAGTCCAGGGAAGACCGCCGCATTGATCCGATCCTCTAAGTCATACATGATCGGGTTGCCTTTCTTGTCCACTCCACGCTGGCCCTTCCTGTAGAAGATCATAGCTCCGCGGGGTCCACGCAGGGACTTGTGCGTGGTCGTGGTGACGACGTCGGCATACTCGAAAGGAGATGGAATGGCAGCTCCGGCCACAAGGCCAGAAATATGAGCCATGTCTGCCAAGAGGTACGCTCCAACCTTGTCCGCAATCTGGCGCATGCGACCATAATCAATCAGCCTCGAGTAGGCGCTGGTTCCTGCAATGAGGATCTTGGGACGGATTCGCATGGCGAACTTTTCGCACTCGTCGTAGTCAATGAGCCCTGTCTCCTCGTTCAGGCGGTAGGGAATGGACTCGAAGTACTTTGACACCATGGAGATCTTCTTTGTGTCTGTCTGATATCCGTGGGACAAGTGGCCACCATGTGGCAAGTCCAGGCCCATGATGCGGTCGTGCACGTCGCAAAGAGCCGTGAAGACCTGGAAGTTGGCAGGTGAGCCGCTAAGCGATTGAACGTTCACGCCCCACTCTTTGGCATCCAGGCGGAAACTCGAAAGGGCCCTCTGTTGGCAGAGCCTCTCCGCCTTGTCGATGAACTCGTTTCCGCCATAGTACCTGGCTCCTGGGTAGCCCTCGGAGTACTTGTTGACCATGACCGAGCCAACAGCTTCCAACACTGGAAGCGGAGCAAAGTTCTCAGATGCGATCAAATTGACGCACCTCCTCTGCCGGTCTTTTTCGGACTCGATGATGCCGTGAACCTCTGGGTCGATCTCCTTCAGCGGCGTGTTGAGGCGCATGGCTTCCACGGTGATGCTGCGGCCTGCTGGGATCAGGCGGGCTGCCTGCCTCCAGCATGAGCGAACAGCACCTACGGCGTGCATGGCGGCAGAGCAGAAGAGGCGACGACTTCCTGACCTTGCCTTGAGGCTGAGAAACACTCCGGCAAGTGCACACTTAGACTCTTAGAGTCTTAGACTTGAACTTGTGTCTTGACTCCGACCAGAGGGCCTGACTCCAGCCTTGGAAGCACATGCTAAGATGCACCCCACCCCGCCCCCACCCCCGCAGGCCACACAGCTCCGCTGGCCTCGGTAGAGGAAGCATCCGGGATCTCACTCATGTCTCGGGCCTTATCTTCACACGCGCTCGCGATCGCTCTCGTCTCGCCTTGGGACCTCTTGGACTCTTGGAGCCGCACTAGGCCGCAGCCCCGACAGAAGCTCGTGTCATGTGCATCATAAACCTTGCCACCTCGGCTTGGGTCAACTTCATGTCAGCACTGATTCATGGCCGCACATATTTCCAAAGAGATGTTGCACAGAACTCCGCTTGAATCATGAACTGTTGAAGCAGTCGAGTCGCAGTTGGGACAGGCTGGTGCCGCTTGAACGACAGCTTGCGCTTCCTGACATATGGGAGTTTCCGAAAATTCGGGGTACCTTGTTTGGGAGTCCTTATAATGAGGATCCTAATCCTACTATTTAGGGTACTATATTAGGGTCCCCTATTTTCGGAAACTCGCATACTCAGGTCGGCCAGCTCCTGGCTCTGAAATTGCCGCCCTGGCCTGGTTATTGTCGTCCACGGTCGGCTTAGTGACCTTCAGGCCGTCCTTCATACGGTTTAGGGTTTAGGGGTGTAATTAAGGCTGCTGTTACATTTACTGTGCCAGATATCAGCCACGCAGGGCCTGGGTGGACAACTGCACCAAGCTCTTTTGCTCGACCTCTCAGAAATCAACAAACCCGGCCTGATAGCACTGCATAGGACAAGACATCTCGCGCGGTCACACCATGTCAGAACTTACATACGTATCGTACGTAGTACACTATATATAGTACATATACTAACACCGAGCCGAATCCGTATGCTAGAATGCAGATTGGGATGGCACCTCTACCTTCATCGGCGCTGCATCGGCGACTGGCGGAGCCTGTTGAACTTCACCGCGCGACAAAAGGCCCGCCCAAGGTTTTTGAGTTCTGAGAACCAGAGAGGCCTCGCTCTTCTCTGGCGTGATCGGCTCCTCCGTCCTCTGGCTTTTGGGCGGAGTTGACGGGCCTCAACTGCAGAGACAGAGGGCTTGAAGAGCAGTCTCAGGAGTGTCTAGTGCCTACCTGGACGCGCTTTCCTTCACTGGGTGCAAAGCCACCCGCACCGATCTCCAGAATGCGGCACTTGGCCTTGTTGACGAGGCCATCGCACTCACGCAGAGTATGCCTGCCCGAATCTTGGCATGCAAACCTTCCGTTGTCTGTATCGCATTGACCTCCCCGACCTCCCAGGTAATCTTCCTATGCCGTTACGGCATGTCTGCATGCTCACCGAACGCCTGCTACTGCCTGCTTACAACATGTGCCTTTCCATGCGATAGCACTGCAGCAGTGAGGCTCGGCTCGGCAGGCAAGTTGCAAGAGGATCTGTGCATCCACGTTGAGAGCAGCCTCCAAAGCACAAAATCTGAACAGACTTCTCGAAGCACGCTTTATTGGATCTTGTCGCAGGCAAAGGCACGATCTCGGGGCGTAGGCGAAGATTGCGAAGCGCTGTCGACATTCCAACTTCTTCCGCCAGTTTAAGCACCTCCGCCGGCTGCACATGCACAGTTCACGCAATTTCACGCAGCTGGCGTGCCAAGACGCACAACTGAAGTCTGAAAATGTCTGAAACTCTGGCTCTCATTATTCTCATATCCCCTGGCACTCTTGCACGCAAATGTCATGATTCGTGGTGATGCGATGCATTTGTTTTGTACAACGTGGCAGGCCTGTCCTCTGTAGTTCCTCACTCTGGCCCCGGTTCGCTTTGCAATTTAATCCAAGTTTCTGCCGCTGCCAACCGGCCATCTCTGCTTTCTGGCTCAATTTCCGTGCTATACTCACTAAACCCACCCAGCCCTTCCGTTGGAGCCTTCCGCAACCGGGATGTGTTGGGGTCATGCGTCTTTCCCCAAGCTTCGGAGGAAGAGACCCGAAGTCACCCAAAACACATGATCTCGGTTTAGCTTCGTGGCAACCTTTTGGAGGTGTACTGTCCACATAGGTATCTGCAGATGGCGATGGCCGCCCGAGGTTTGTTGCAGAAACGCTGACCGCAGCCTCTGGACTCACTTCCGGAAGCGAAGAAGGCTTGTCTGCTTCCTTGGGTGACTTCTCCTGGAGCCGAAGCGGCTATCGACCATGCTAGTGTCTCGATTGCAAACCTTTACAGGCAAGCCTGAGACGCAGGGGCACAATCGCTACAGTGGCTATCTGGCCAGGCTCTTTCCAGCATCTTTACCTATATACTAGTAGCTATAGAGTACTATAGAGTACTATATATATATATATACATATATATACATGTATATATATATATATATATGTATAACAGACCCCAAACCCTATTCGACCTATTTTTTCAGGTCCCTGTTTCGTGGTCCCTGTTTCGAAACCTCTACAGTGGCAGCAAGTTGTCGACGCAGTCCTCCACGGTGGCCGCTGGTGGCTTGGCTTTGGCTTTCGCTTGTGTCGCGGCGCGTGCCTTGGCCTTGGCGACTGCTTTGGCCTTCGCTTGCGCTTTAGCTTTGGCTTTAGCCTTTGCTTTCGCTTTAGCCAGCATGGACTTCTTCCTCAGCGCATCGGAGTGGCAGAAAAAGTGTATATAGGTTTCGAAATTGAAGTGAGGCCCAGCTTCGGAGCAGCTCCCTTTGCAGCATCTTCGCCCTGAACCCACGGAAGCAATGTCAATACATTTGGGGATGCCGTGGCAGGATCTCAAACATCTCATTGACGATCTTTTGCAACACAGCTAGCCGCTAGCCTACTGTACTTTCCAGCCGGCAGGTACATCCTCTACCGTGGACGGCCCAGTCCACACTGAGAACATGGGGGGCTGCTGCAATGTCGAAGCCCGGAAAGGCATCAATTCTGCGGCTCCTTCTCGTTCCGCTTGCGCTTACGGGCTGGCTCAGCTGGCTCCGCATTGTCGGACCTGCTTGCGGCCAGAGAAGAGGTGGTTCCACTGGTGTCAATACGATGGCCAGTAGTTGTGATTCGGCCTGAGTTGATACAAGGAACTCAGCTCGCCGCTGGGTCTTCTTCGTTCCCTTTCTCGCCTTTCCCTTTGGGATCTTTGCTTCTACCTGAAACGGGACAGGCTCACAATGCCACGCCCAGTGCTGGGACCTCCATACTCAGTCCGAACCAGGTCTGATGGCCTTTGTGTCCTCGTCCATTTCATCTGCAAGCTTCTCAGCCGTGTCCTGGAATCTCCAGGCAATGTCCCTGACTGGGTGCCAAGCTTTCAACAAACCTGGAAGGGCTTCCCAACATTCTCAACACAAGCTCTGCGACCCTTCAATCCGAATGGGATAGTCCTTGCTGGGCTTCTTGACTTTTCTGCTTTTCTTGGCAGTCCCCACAGTCTCACCCTGAGGTGCCGGTTCATCCACATGATATCTATGCACATGCGCACATACATACTTGCATAAAGCTTACGTATCTGCGTACATGCACACGCACGTAGGTATCAGTACATGCATGTGTACATGCACGCATGCCTTTACGTATGCATAGGTGCATGACTATACAAGACCAACACACATGATGTCTTTACGCGCATGTGTACACACACCAAGATGCACAAATGGATCTGTATGCATGATGTGTATATGTATGTATGTATGTGTATATATACATATTAATATATGTGACTCATGCTTATGTAAACATACACAGGCATAACTACCTCTGTATATACATATATACATTTACACACATGCACACATATGTATATATATATGTATATACATACATGTCTTCTAAGCCAGGTCAGTGTGGGAACTCTCTGTACTTAGATGTGCCTTGTCTTCGGAGCCATCAGAAGTCTTTGCGGACTTTTTCTGGGACTGCCTGCAGTTCGCCACGAATATGGAAACGGCACAAGCGAAAATTAGTGCCAGCCGGTGAAAGCCAAGCAACTTGGGTTGCTTCACGGTCCGGGCCGGCGGATTATTCACGTACCTCGTGTTGAAGAGAAGAACTAAGATAGTTGCGACACTTCGCACAACTCTAAAGGTCCCAGGCACGCTTCAGCCTCTTCGCGTGTAGCGAAGCTGCGGTACATCACCTCACGCTGCAGGGTCAACGGCTGCATCGGGCTACGACTGGAGCCTCCGCAAGAAACACAACTGCGGCAAGGCGCTCCCTTGACGCCGAGCACATACGGCTTGCACTCTTCCCAGCTCGTACAGATGCGCTTTTCGGGAGCAGCCACCTGAAGCATCAAGTGTGGCTTGGCTCATGGCCATACAGAAACAGGCTCATCAGCTCATCTTCAGCCCAAGATGCGCCGTAGAACTTGACGGTGACGCCGGCTCGTTCTTTCAACGAGCGGCTTCCCGGCACCTCGACCAGCTGCATTTCCTTGCTTTGGTCTGGCTCCATTATACAGTCCAATGGGGGTATTGGTGAGATGGGATAGTGCAACAGCTGCAGAGAGGAGCTCTGTCGCAATGACTCGTGAACATCTAGCGGCTCCGGTCCAACAACCCCCCACTTCATATCCATCCTCGTTGTACTCGTAAGCCGGTCCGGTGCTTTCGGCTTGTGCTTCTTTCTCCTCGGCACAAGACACCTATGCCCTCAGCTCGTAAGTTAGCGGCAGCTTGTGGCTATCAGTCTCACTCTCTGCCTGAACTGTCTCGGGACTTGCAGGAACCATCCACCAAAGACTTGATGGCATCAGCTACACGAGACTGGCACAGCCAAGTCTCCCTTAGCCAGTTTCCCAACCGTTCCATCGGACTTGGCTCCCTCAGCCAGGGAACACACTCTGCCACGGCCACGAAGCACTGCAAGCCACAGTTGTGCAATAGATGACTTCTTTTACGTCAAACAGAATACCAAGGGGACCGCATGGAAGCCACTGGCCCACCCAAACTTGCGAGCCAAGGTGCTCTCCTGGCGTACCCGGCTCTTGGTCCTGTACAGCCTTGATAACCCACTGGCAATACCTGGAACGAAACCATTGATGCAATCTAAGATCTGCAGGATCTAGTGTTGATCTCTATGGATACGATCTCTATAGAGTCTTCTGTATACGCCCTTATGAATTTCTTTAATGCGCAGGCATAAGCAACATGCGCATCCATTCTGCGCAGGGCTTCTTTTGGACTGACCTGGACACTGGGCAGGAACGCCCTGTCGCTAGGCAGCGGATCACATTAGAAACCAAAAGAAACAGTGTCGTTCGATCGCAGCAAGCGGAGTAACTAGGTTCGCAAGAATGAACACCGTGATGATACGGCAGGAACGGGGCATGATGTAGACCAGCTAAAAAACTGTTGCCGTCGACTCCTCTCGATGCCCACGGCATGCGGCATCCAAGCACAATCAGTCTCCTAATCAATAACTCAACATCGACCGCACAGTGCGCACTTGGGTTCTTTCTCCCATAGCTCGATGTAGGTCATCTCAGCATGCCTCGCATGCTAAGGCTGTTGAAAGCAAAGCTCTGATCGGGATGCTAAACAATGGGATCCGCCGCCATGGCCTGCCAAAACCGACGCCGTCGGCACCAGTAGCACCGGGGGCTTGCATTGGTGCCTGCATGTACCACTACTGCCTGAATGCCACGCTGGTCGCTGCTACAGTTGCTACAGTGTCACAAGAATGTTGCTCTAGTGCCTGTACCCTCGGTCTTACTTTGGGTTACTTTCCGTTCTGTTTCCTGCATCACCGTTGGCATCACTATTCGCCATTGTGAACTTTGAAGAGGGCTGTACCTTCCTCTGCAGTTTCCATCTTGGACAACAGAACTTCCAGGATTCGGATTGATTAGCGCTTGAAAGCCCCTGTCGGTCGTTGCTTCGCCGGCAGTTCGATAATCATCGCCTAATTGAATGCCTGCGTTATTCAGACACGTTCCTCGCTTTGATCAAAGGCTTACATGCTGAGGTGGCAGACATGCCAACAGAGGAGCGGCTTCAATCTTTGAGCCTCTTTGCGCTGTGCCGCGAAACACTCTCGATGATGTTACCTTCATGGTCGTGTGGAGTCTGCAATTCCGACGGCGACGTCGGTCAAGTGTCGCTGAGCCTGCTCACCCGTGGGACACCAACAGTTAGAGTTAAAGTACTGCAACGATGGAAAAATGTGTCCACAACCTTTTTCGCGCAAGAACCCAGTTGACTGCATGAAGGCATGCCCCGTAAGGAAAGAAACTAGTAAAACTACCGGGGAGGAACCTCCCCAGCAAGCTTCTATAACCTTCATGCCAACTCACCATCATTACCATGACCACCGCCGCCACCACCAACGGTCCCACCATTAAAACCACCACCATTACCCTGACAATTCTCATCGTCGCCACCAGCACCAGCATTAAACCAGCATGCCTATCTGTCTTCGTGGTTGCAACACATCTCGACAAGACCGAGAACATGCCAACAACATCAGGCCTGAATGTTGGCGAAGGCTTGATGGGACCAAGCTGTTGGGCCAAATGGCTACCATGACATCTTTGCAGACCTGTGAATAGCTGCACAGTCTTGTTGCTGCATTTTGCAAGATCTGCGCGCCTTTCAATTTTCAAGCTTAAGTGGCTCATCGTTCTCCCGTTGCTGGAACACAGTGATGTTACTCCTCAGCGGGTGCATGTCGAGGGCAACACCGGCAAAGGCAAACCTACTTCCAACAAGTGGGCCTCGGCCACAAAACAAACCTGAGTGCTGGGAAAGTCGAGACAAGTCCTGCTGGAAGCCAAGGCGCGTGTCGCGTTGCCGATGAATGTTGACCTCAACAATCGCTCTACAGCAAGAACACAGTTCGCACAGCATCACAGGCGGATCAGACCGTGATGCAAAAGCATTGGTCAGGAGTCATGTCAGCTTCGTGTACGTCTAGCGCAGCTAGCACTGCAGTAGGGCAGGCACGAAGCAGTTCATTGCATACTTGATGCCATTTTTGACAGGCTTGGCCTAGCGAACAGGGAGGCGCTGACATGTCCCGATATTCATCTGTCACGCTCAAGTCACACTGATCAGTCGGATGAGGTTTGGAATTTTAGAAGGTGTGGACGCTAGCATGGCCATCATCAGGCATTTTGCCGGATGAAGGCCAGGCAGGGTTGAATACTTGACGGGTGTTCAGAGTTCAGGGTCAACAAACAGCGGTTCTCACAATGCAGACGAGCGGTGTTCGAGATTCAACTCTGGCGGTAGGCTCGCGACATCGGACTCTAGAGAAACATGCTAGATGAGCTTATGGGAGCGGATTGTCAGGAGCTGCATGCAAACGCTCCGTGCCTCTGTTCCTGTATGGCGCCACTAACGCTTGAGCTTCGATCCATGCTCTCAGGCAGCGCTGCCTCATGCTTCACCCGCATATCGCCTTCGCCAGACGGAAGACGATTTGGCCACATCCTTGGCTCGGGGCTACTGGCACATCTGGTGCACTGCTGTTCATGCAGTTTGGAAGGCCATGCAAAGGACTTTCGGCTGCTAATGTGCCGATCGTGAGTGACTCTTTCGGTCAAAAATGATTTTGAAACCGTAGGTGCGACTTCTCCTGTGACTTCTCTGGACCATCACTTACATACCGATACTGCCACCTTGCAACAGCCACCGTCGCAGCCACTAGCACCCACGTGCAGATCGGCGATGCTCACTATGACACTATGATCAGCATCGTCGTTGTCGCAGTCCTCATCATCCGGCTGACTAGCATTGCTACGGATGCTGTGCTAATTCCCGCTCTGACAGAAACGGTTGCCATGTCGCTACTGCTGCTGGTGCAGCTGGTAATCGTACTAGTATAACAACACTCAAAAAACTACGAGCACTACTTCTACTGCTGCTGATGCTGCTCCTTCTCATCCTCCCGCTGCTGCTCCTGCGACTGCTACAACGTGCTACAACAACGACTAGCACTAGCCCTAGCCATAGCAGTGGCAGTAGTAGTCGTCGTCGTGCTCAGCAAGCTGTCAATGAACGAACTCCAAGCGACAATGCTGTCAAAGCTGCCGGGCGCACCTCAGCTTCGGAAATGGCGAACTTCCTCACGCAGTTGTCGTTGTATCGCATCCCCGCATGTACTTGTCCAATGCAGCTCGCCTGGAAGCCCAGATGAGGGAAGCTGGTCTCCCCACCACCACCTGGCTCAAGGCCTGAAGCTGTCGGCAAGTGTGAGTAAAATCTCCCGGATGCGTGGTTCGTCCGGGTCTCTTCACTCGCTCACAATTGCAGCAAGCGCTTTTTTCAATGGTGGTGGCATTTGGGGCTATCCGCCAAAGCTCTTGATCTAAAGCACCCTTTTAAAGCACCCTTGCAAGTGGCAGGGACGGGTCTTGAAAATCGAGACAGGCATCTGCACCGTATAACATGTCATCGTCACTGTCTAGCGTTTCGCAAGATTGCCCAATCCTGCCAAGTCTGCTCAGGCAACGATTGAACTACAGGTGAGACTGGGGTTGTTAACGGCTTACGCCACGAGTCTACGATTGGAAGTGCCCTTCGGACCCATCCACTTTCGTAAGAAAACAGCCGGTGCAAGTTGTTGGAAGCTCCACGCGGTACACGTACACTTGCTCTGTCGCGTCGGGTGTCCTGTCATCCAACAACCTGAAGCAGCATGGAAAATGATAACATCATCACGCCGTCTCCTGGCTCCAGATTTGCCGACGCTCTCCGAGCGAGTGGCACCGGATCTCGCGCCAGAATTCTCGAAGGCACGATGGGAGCGTGCGACGTCGGAAGCTGTACGATTGTGCGGGCGGTGTTGTGCATCACACGCTCTTGTTTCGACACCACTCGGGCTCGTCAGCATCGAGATCGCCGTCCTCGACCTCTATGAACGTGTTGTGCACACTGATCAAACTGCTGAGAGAAAGCGCCGGCGGATTATCCATCGCATCGTCCGCGACTTCAGCAAAGCGTGGGCTGCGGCCCTGCGCAGCACAGCATCTGAATCTCAGGCAGGTTCACTGCAATTAAAGGTCCAAGGCAGCAACACTGGACTTCCTGCTTGGCTAGTTAGAGTCCTTAGAGAAAGGCACATGCATGTCCCAAACATGACATCTGCAGCATTGCTTGATGCAAAGACGTGATGACATGGCCATGGTCAAGAAAGTGGAAGGGACCTATATCTGCAGAGGGTCTCAGACATGAGACCCTCTGATCATATGATGGTCTCATCTCGGAACATGCCCTGCTGCACAGCCAACTTGATAACGCCACAGTCCACCGCCTTACGCCAAAGGCTTCAACTTGTTGCAGCTGGGACCCTTAACTCCAGACTCCAAAATCCCCGAACCCAAATTGGATCCTAACACCTGATCCCTAAACCGCCCCCGAATCTACAAACCCTAACAAAAGCATTGCAAAATCCGCTTGAATCTCTTCTCCTTCTGATTTGCCTCCTAATACGATTTCCGGAAGGGTATTGAATATGCTAGGAGTGCTGTAATATTATGCAGAAATTGAAAGAGTAGAGGGATGCGATTGGTAACCTTTACCGCAATAATATGGCACCATGACTGACTGGAGCCTCTGAGATGGTCGGCGCATGCTTGGAGCTGTTCAACTTCCGGTACGCCGTCTCAGGGGCTCTCAGCGGTCTTGGGGATCTTAGGGATTCGGGCTACGATCCGCAGTGGTCGAAGTAGGGCATGTTATGGTTTTCGACTGCTGCATAACTCAAGCGTACTATCAAAGGGTTTAAGCATTTCGGGCATGAAGATTCGGGCATTTGTCAGATCTTTGGCTACCGGCTACCTTTTTTCCCTCCTACCTAGCAAGGACGAAGCCCGCATTGCAGGGTGTCTTGGTTGAACTACCGGCTACCTTAGCTTGAGGGGTCTTTCCGGATGGAGGTTTCTGTCGACCTGCGAGCATCCACGCGGTATGGATCCGGGGTTTTACGTAGGGCCGTAAGGTCACAGCTCCCTCGACAAGGCGGGCAGTGTCTGTTCGGTCCTTGTGCACCTTCCAGGCTGCCTCGAATCGTGAGGCCAGCGAATTCCACTGGCTTCTCTGAACAACGGCCTGGTATGGGACCAGCAGCGCCCCATCCATGGTGTTGTATACCTGCACCTGTCAACTAGAAGAATGCTCGTCGGGCATTGGAAAGCTGGCTCAGCAGACCCTGTCTGGGCATAATCACAACCCAGCGTCCCTAAACCCTAAACCTAAACCCTTTTGCATCCAGCCTGCAAAGCCTCTGCTGGGAACTAAATGAGCGCCTAGAGCAAACCTGCAAGTCTGCCGTGAAACTCATCAGGTACCCTAAACCCGGCCTCTGAGCAACCGATAGAGATGAGGAACATCTGCAAGAAGCTTGGGAAGTCAAACTCTCCCACCGGGCGGTACCAAGCTGGATACAAAGACTCCTAAGGAGCACTTCGTTGATGCGCTTCTGGACTGCACTTCCCTGCCTAGGTAGCATCCCCTGCTCACCTAATATCTGTATGTATGTATATATATATATACTAAATATACAAACCTTCTAAGCTTTACACCCTGAAGCCCTAAAGACCTATACACCCTAAGTCCTTAGCTTTAACCGAGGATCAGGGCTGCCAGAAGGCAGGTCGAGCACGACCACCGAATGATCCTCGTGCGAACTATAGGGTTTACCGGCTTATAAGCTTACAAGGTTTCGACTCGCACGAGCGCACAATGCAAACACGGATTCCAGCGGCTTAGAAGGTTTAGGGCTTGGAAAAGGGAATGGAGTTTCGTCGCTTAGGCTTGAAGAGCCCGACACCAACAGAGTATGTCCAGCACTGCAGCTAATTCTGTCCATCCGCTTCTTATCTCTTCTTCTACCTATTGCCACTATAATCTGCCGAGGCCAAAGGTCTCTGGCGTGTTGATGGTTTATACTAAGTCCCCCTCCCGCCCTCCCCCCCCTCGCGCCGGCCGACCCCCCATGACCCCCCCTTCCTCCTCCTTTTTCCACCTTCCCGCTGCGAGGAAGCTCCCCCTCCCTTCCCTTTCTCCCCTTCCTTCTGCCCCACTTCTTTTTTTCCATCTTCCCGCTGCTTTCGCTCGCGTGTTTTCTCCATTGCTCTTCTGCTTCGGTTCTCCTTTCCCCTTCCTGCCCTGTTCTCACTTTTGCCCCCTTCTACCCTCTCCGTCGTTCCTTCCTGCGCTTCGCTCGCGTGCTTGTTTCTTCAGTGTTTTTCCCCTTTGCCGCACCTTTTCAGCAGCCCATGGCTACTTTCTGCTCCTGCTTCTGCCAGCCTTCCGAGCCCTGCTCGACTACAACAGGTGCTGCCAGTCGCTGTGCTCCTTCTGTGCCTACTGCTGCTGCTGCTGCTGACAGTGCACCGCTGCTGGCACTACTGAGGAGGGCCGCGTAGCGTTAGAATCCGCCGAGGCCACAGGCCCAGGCGTCTTGGGGGTTACCTCAGGTTCCCTCCACCTAATCCTTTTGCCTGCAGTCCGAAAGTTTGGAGACACCCTGTTTTTGCGTTCGTTTGCCCCCCTTGCCTGGCTTCATTTTACCTGATTTGGGAGGCCCCCCCCTCCCCCGCCCCTCCCCCGATTGAGAGGCCCCCTAGCATGGTGTATACAACATCCACCCCTCGCCCTGCTGCTACAGAGCCGAGGCGGGCGGCGTAGCGTTAAAATTACTATTCCCAGTCACTACGTATCATGAAGCTCTGCTCTGAGCAGCTTCCAGATTAATCCTCCGTTTGGCTTTGCTTCAAGGTCACCTCACTCCGTCCAACCATGTACTCCGGCGATCTGCAGGGCAACAAAGGCCGCCCCTGCAATGCAAAGTCGGACTTGCGCGTGCGCCCCAGGCTCAACATGCTACTACAAGCTGGTAGGGTGCTCGCAGCTCAGCATTCCGCCATCGGTAGGGTACGGTGTGATGCTTCTCAACATGAATGCAGGCTACAAGAACGAGAAAACGTCACTTCTGAAAGCATCACCGGAGGGCAAGACGTTCATGCAAAGTTTAGCCCATGCCAGCCGCTGGGAGAAATCTGCACGCAGCTTTGTACCGAGTGAATTCTCAACACGCTGGTGTTCATTGAGCATTGTGAGAGTGGGACATCCTGCCTGAGGACAGGTTCGAAGTGACAGAATCACGTAGAACTGCTGATCTGCCTGCAGCGGGAGCTCTTGCAGAGTCTTGCAAGCTTGGGTTTGGCTCTCTTTTAGAAGACAAGGGCCTCCAGGAGCGTGTCTAAAGATCTCAACGATGCTGCGGTCTGCCGCACCATCAGCGAGACAGAGTGTGCCTCGGAATCATTAATAGCACGAACAATAGCAGTAATTACAATCATAGTAATTGTGATAATAGTAGGAATAACAGTAGTAATAACAGTAATAGCAATTGTCATAGTAGTAGCAATAATCGTAGTAATAGTAGTATTGGCCCAGCCATCAGAGCGACACTCAGCAAATTGGCCAAGAGTCCATCTGGGCGAGGTGTGCCGAAGCCCATGCAGGAAACGCGGCCCCGGCTACAAAGAGCCCCACAGTGCAAAGCATCTGCTGCTCATCTTCGTGGTCCGGCTCCACAACACTCACCTCAGAAGGACTCTAAACCCTAAACCGCTCTTCGTGCGAAGGTCTAATTCAGCCTGACTAGAAGGTGAACATAATCTACTGCTCTGGCGCTCTGGGATGCAGCGAACGCACTATGCATTACCAGAAGGACACCCAAGCTTATACATAAATGCACACGACACAAAGCATTCGACACAGGCAAACATACATCCGACATTTGTTTGTGCTCTCTCGAGAACGTGCTTGTGTTGTTCTGCACGTGCCAGAAAAGTACATATTGGCAATTTACATGAAATACGGCGGGAAAGTGAAGTCAACGAAGACACACAAGTCGATTGAAGCATTTGCTTCGCTCTGGAAACCACATCATGCGATGCATCTGCTTACACGGGTATGCCTCTTCGTACCAGTGGCTCCGTGGATAGGCGTGTTCTTCTTTACTTTTGCTGCATACGGTATGTGAAATCATGTGCAATACACACGCAGAAATTCATGTGGATATAAGTAGTATAAACGACATGTATACATCTTCGTACTTGTGATCGTTCTCACCATCAACGCACTTTACTCAACCGAAACATTAAAACACAGGTGTGTGTGCGTGCGTGTGTGTGTGTGTGTGTCGCGGATTGGGCGACAGTATGCCCTCACATGCCCAGCTTGCAGCATTGCAAAGTCAAGCTTCTGTCGCAAAATGAGAACCAGCTTGGGCCACGAAGCGCCCCAGCTCGTGATCAAAAGGAAGGTGCACAATTGTCACCACGCCTCTGCGCAAAGTCTCCATCGGTTTCTGTATGAAACAACGGGGCACCAGCACGTTCAGCCACAGAGACATCACCTTCTCTGAAAAATCACACTTGGCACTGTACGGGTTTCACCGTCTTATATTGCCCTGATTCCCTGCCTTGATTTGGAAAATTCCGCCATTGAATTATTCCTCAGAGTGCATGCATAGCGATTGACCAAGCAGGCGCGAGGACAGGGTTACACGGCATGTTGCACAGTCAAGATTCTCTCTCGGTAGTAATTGTCGCGGTTGTTCGACGGCTTGGCACCGGTGAGGATGTTTGCATGTTCTGCGGCCTCTCGAAACACTTCTTCCAATCTCAATTCGGCTGCAGGCACTCGCGCTTCTGATGCCTTGCTCCACTGATCGGCGACGTTGTCGTCAAGGATGGTGTTGGAAATGATGTCTCCTGTAGTCAGTCAGCCGCTTGCTAAAAGATCCTCTAGATTCTCTAGATCCTTGAAGGAACCTGGAGATTACAACAGATGCTGAAAGGAACCCCAATCAAGGAACTTGACACAGACCTTTTGCAGCAGGCCTCGTTGTCCAGCAGCCCAAACCCTAGACCCTAAACCCTTAAGTAGTACCCCGAAGATCGATCCCTTAAAGGGACCCTAGACCCTGAACCCTCATACTACCCCTATCGATCCCGTCCTGGCGCCAAGATCTCCTCCACCATCTGCTTGCAATACTCGTCTCCCGAGAGTCCTGCGCAAGAAAATTTCCGGGAAGCCGCGCTTTTTGAGGCGCAGAACTAGCAACGAACAAGGTTTAGGGTTGATGTGGGATCTTGTTTCACGTTTTGGGGTGGTGTGCTTTCTTGCCTCCCGCATGGCAGGGATGTGAGGTCTTCGGGCTTCGGGGGGAAGTCTGCAAAGAGCCGACGGCTCAGGAGACGACGGAGACACGTCCAGCGGATCAATGTCAACTGGCAGCTATGTACCGTACTAATGTGGTCTCAAGTGATTAGGCGGCACTTTTGCCGGTGACCATTTGCTTGCCAGGGCACCTAACTTCTGTAGCATTTGCCGATCGCAATAAATCTCTGGACGCGGTAGCTGGCCACATTTCGAGGTGTCGTCCATAACCGCCTAATGAGCAAAGCAGCAAAAGGCTATGGTAAAGCTCACGGGCTTACGAAAACTGTTGTGGATGCGACTCCAGCAGTCCAGCCTGCACCCTGGTTCGAAGGCGTAGCATAAAGAAGTTTTGGACCCTCTTGAAGGCGGCACTGCAGGCCTCACCTGATCACGTCGCTGCCATAACAGAAACTGCTGCCCACTCAGCCGCTACTCGTACGTCAACAAGCCGATCGTCTGCCGGACATGATCCAGAGACATGGAATCAGGCATCGTAAGATGTTGCACCGAAGACCTCGTCCTACTGGCAGTGCAGGCTACCAAGCCAGCATGGACAGTTGGCAACCCCACACGCCAAATCGCATGGCCTTCGGACACCACATGTGCGCTCAATCCAGTCCAGCCATCTTCACCAATCAGGTCCTTCTCAAGCTGATCACGGTGGCTGGGCTTGCTGCAGTTGGCAGTGTATATGCGCAGTTCAGGCAACAATGAAAACATGCATGCTTGTCTGCTTATATAGCTCCATGAGCTGCAACTTAGAAGGCATAGATGCAACTGTGTGCATGGAGAAGTAGCGATGACGATAAGGTTCACAGTAAACACAAGTCGCCGTTTCGAGGAGTAGCAATAGCAGGAACGTACTGGAGGAGTCACAGGTATCAGCAGTGTCACCGAGCAGAAATCGTAGCAGAATGCCACGGGGTGCCGGCGCAGGTGGTCTTGATTGCTGTATTAATGTGCTTGGTCGTTGTGGCGATGGTGGAGGCGAAGACTTTCACAATGACGGAAGCCCGGCCACCTTGGCATCTTCCTGTGATATGAAGGTAACAGTGCAGTATCCTGCAATAAGCTTCAACAAGCCCATCTTCCGTGCACACGCGAATAAAACTATGCTCAGTGATGTGGCCGCAAACACAGTGGACGAAATCATACTTTCAACAGGATGCGACATGATCGTATTGCACCATTTTCATACCGCTTCCACCCAAAGGTCCAGAGCTTCAAACTTCGATGGATGCATAGATAGATAGATAGATAGATAGGTAGATGGATAGATGGGTAGGTACGTAGGGAGAGAGAGACACAGAGAGAGAGAGAGAGAGTCTGTGAAGACAGACTCCGTTGGGGTTTCAATGAGTTCAACTAGCTGCCATTGTGCAGGAAGGCAGGTCCTTGGCACACGACTTCAATGTCTGATCACAAGTGAAGTCCATGTTGAAGCTGCTGTGGGGAGCTTCGCAATTGAGCCAAAAAGCAGCATCGAACGAAGTGTGCGCTATTGTGCGCTTATGTGCGTGCATGCTCCCTGCGGCTGAAAGACTTCCGGCTCCCGCTCCATGCTAGCTGCGTGGATGGCAGCACCTGAGGACGCCACCATTCAGATAGACGAAGACTGTAGAAGGTCTCATTGAGCCATCCTCGGATTGCGAAGATATGCAAAGCAAAGCACGACAGCACCAGTGCAGTTCGTGCATTTGAATTCGTGCTGTCGAAGTTGCATGGTGCAACTTGAAGAACTGGCCGGGCCTCGCAGCTTCTCAAAGGCAAGAGCTAAAGCCCCCGAACCAAATGCGCAGCTTTGACCAACGAACAAACTGCTCAAAACAAACTCCTCCGCATACTGCTTAAGCGAGACTTCACCTTTCTTTGCCTGCCTTTGTGAAAACCTGCAGGATCCTGCAGGAATCTGCAGCGGGCCCCCCTTTGCTCTTGTGCAAACTGAGGCAGGGGCTCGTAGCGAAGCATAACAAGTGGTTCCACCTGTCGTGTGAGAGCAAGCACGGGCGTGAGCATGGCACCGTGTTACACAAAGCAACAGGGCCTGTGCCAAGCATGTGCCAGTCACTGCCGCTACTCTGGCTGCAATCCGTTCCTTGACCGCGAGACATCGAGAGTTGCAGACACCGTCAACCAAAATCCTAAAGCCTGGAAAGAACAAGTGTCTGTGACAATCGTCTCATTCCACTCCAGATGTACCTCGGCTACGCACAGCGGAGATCCGAACGGCCGAAGACGACCGCGTCCAAACATGAACTCGTATAGACACAACGTAGTGTAACTAGTTGAAAGAACCTCCCTCAACACACTATAGCACCGAGGTCGGAAACCTCTTCCTGATTTTCTGAGAACCTAGAATCTCCCCCTACACTCGCTGTTGGTACCGAGTCGCGCTGGACGAAGTGCGGGTGTCCCCATAGCCCTCTTCCTCAGGACACCAGGAGGCTCAGGAAACATTGCCACAGATCACCCTACGAACATATGGGCCAGACATGATCCGAAAAACTAGCGCAAGCGACAAGCACATCGAGATCTTCAGCCGCATCTTCTACCTCTCTGGAGTTCCCTACACCAGCCTGGGCTCAAGCTGAGGCCTTGGCTCCCAGGGGATGACTCGCCTCCCCCTTGTTCATACCATGAAGGTCTGTGGCCTTGGGGCTTAGCTTTCTTTTTAGACCCCCCTTTTCCCTTCGCAGAGGCCCAGAAAGCAGGGTTCGGCTGGGCGTATAGCTACCATTCCAAGGCTTAGGGAATACCATGAAGGCCTGTGGCTTCACCCGCTTTCTTCCGATCAATTCCACTTCCGACCTGGGCCCCATGCCTTGCCCTTGGATACTTTGGATCGCTCCTGAAAGGTGTACACCGGCTGAGGTGGTAACCGACTGACTGGATAAAGGAATCCTCCATGGCTACATATAGCTGCAAAATAGGACTTGTACCTAAGTCTGGAAGGCTCAGGCCGTTCAGCTGTCATCTCGCGCACTGCTACCATTCGCCTAGCTGTTACGTCTCGAAACACAGCGCAATCGGCAAGCGTTTGGTATACCTGAATTTTTTGAAGAGAAGAGCTCCATCAGGGGTGAGGGGCATGAATCTGAAGCAATGCAGCCGGCTGGCCCATCGTCCCTCGCAAAGCTGGATCAAGTGATCCACCTGACCACCCACTGGGACATGCAGCCTAGCATGTGCAGAGGTGCTGCATTGCTGGCACAAAGAGCTGCACGATGCAAGTGGCTCGGGTGAGGTTGCAGTCATGATCACAGGGTCTACATCGGGCAATCGAGACTCGGAAGCAGCACGGACAGATGCTACAAGACCAGCATGCTCGGCGCCTCCTCTTGAGACACAAAGTTCTCATAGAGTGTTACCTCCGGATCCTGCCACAATCGCATCCCAGTCCGACGGCCCCGCATCCGACCACAGGCATGGCGAGATGATTCATTTTGCTTCAACTCTTCTACTGACAACCGATGCCGCCATTGGACGCGTAGTCCCTCTAGCCTGGCACAATTCTGAAGCTGTCCCCTGACCTGGAGCTCTCCACACAGTGTCAGCTCCTCATGAATCGTCTTTGCAAGGATCTTTTCCGGTCCGCACACCTGCTCTCCAAGACCTGTGCTGCAGAGAGCTTAATTAAAACCCTTTTGCAACAGGCTTTCCACTTCGCCCGGAAACCCTAAACCGAAACAGGGCGAGTTTCTGCAGATGAATGTGTGCAAACTCGCATGCAGCGTCACGGCCATCACGAGCTTCCCAGGATTTCTCATTTGCATTGACACGCACAGAAAGATGTTTACATATATTAACCGGGTTGTATATGTATATATGTATATCTAACGCGTACATCTGTACATGTGCGGTGTATAACCATCAATATATTCGTATAGTATATGTAATACACACGCGTATATCGTGATCCTGGTCGTGTTGAGGCAGCCACACGCGTCCGTGACTTTCGGCAGGCCGGTTTCTGAAGGCGCCTCCTCAGTCAGTTCGGATGCAACGAGCCCTATTGCTAATAACAATAACCGACTAACTCATTACACAGAATCTTCACACAAGCTGCTCACAGGCTTGAAGATGTAGAAATAGCTCCTGGAGTGTATGCGGCCAGAACAGGAAAGCCAAACAAAGAGGGCCATGCACTCAGTAAGCAATAAGAGTAACGATAACAATGAGAATATTCGTATGAATGCAAATAACAATAGAATTTCCCATTTTTTTGGATCCCCGTGCCTCGATGACTGTCTAAAATGGCAGGTAGCACGACACTACGAGGATCGAGGACAAACTCTCCAAAAATGATTCAAGCTAGCCTCCCTGTCAGGGACAGAGCAGTTCACTGGCAACTTTCAGTGCTCAAGGGTAAGAGAAGGCGGCTACCCGGACCACGATTGACGGAAAAAACCCGGCGCTGTAGGAAGCTACCAAGCCTAGCGTATGTCAGAAGCTAAACACTGGTAGTAGTAGTAGTAGTAGTAGTAGTAGTAGTAGTAGTAGTAGTAGTAGTAGTGGTGGTAGTCGTCATACAGTAATAAGAGTAAAGGCCAAATGAGATTCCAACGGACGTCTGAGCACGGGGCTGTGGTCATGATGGCCTGAACTGCTTGATGCGGATGCCACTACGAAATGCCAGGGAGCTGCCGGTTGTGCCGAGAAAAAACACTGCAACACTATTCCACGCTCAGCTCCTGGCCATGATTGAGCGCGAGACTCACCACAAGGGGCGCTCTACCATCAACCAGGCTTCAAATCGTGCCAAAGTTTGCGCTAGTCCCTTGTTGTAACGTTCTGATCAGATCTGCGTGTTTGCCCACCTTTCGAGCTGTAGGTAAGGACAAGAGCAGAGATAGTCAACAGACGTGTCTAAACTGTTGCCGCCCTTGCAGCATCAGTCGACTGAGCCAATGCCAAGCGATGCTTTCATGGTTGCACCAGGGTTTTACAACACGCCTGTGCCATCCTACGGACTACGTTCGAAGACTGACCCAGTGGGAAGTACCCAGTCTTGCAACGGCAGGCCCGCATCCTGGGGACCTTGGAATCTCAACACAAGGCCGTCGCTAGGCTGGCTTTCACTCCACACTGCACACACTGCGAGCTTTGAAAGTATCAACAGCCCATCGTAAGATTCCCGCCCTTCGCTTGGGCGCGGAAGGTGGCACTCTCCGATGAGACAGACACCGTCCTGACACACAGCGCGGCCGGGCAAGAACTTGGACACAGTCTGTTTGCACTACTGCAGGCCGCAGGCCGGTAAGTGTAGGAGCCCAAGGCCCAAGCCCAAGATAGCTCAAGAACCTAATCAACATCTTGAAAGAACACCCGGTCCAGTTTGGAGGCTTCCACAGCGCCACCAGATCTGCCAGGAGCAGCTTTCAGACCAATAGACGGCAAGTGCACGGGTCTGACATGCCTGCGTCCGCATGCAGGATGACAGGATCCTTGCCGTCCAGGAGGCTGAGGTCCTCCAACAGCAGCTTGCAAACTCTGCCAAACCGGTTTCTGGCCGTTGAGTTGCACGACTTGAGGCCTCCTGAGCGCCAGAGCCAGCGTAAGCTGATTCTCCGCTGCCGCCACCGTCCAACCTGCAGTTCTTCCAGCACGTAGGAGAAGAGCGCATAATGAGGTAAATTTCTGGGATGGAGATGTTGGGTTACGGTTACGCATGTCAAGATTGTCAACACAAGATAAAGATGCTACTCACGGTAGGCCGAGTTCAAATCCAGGATCCAAGCACACACCAGAATGTCTTGCACTCAATGGGGGGGGTGAAAGCCTTCGAGCCAACATTGTGAGAAGCTTCTCCGTCTCCGCATGTACCTCTCAAGGTCAAAATTGGATACGCGCACATGCTTGTGACGGCAGCAGTAGCTGCCGGCAGCCTCTGCGGTGAAACGCCCGCAAGATGACAGTGCTTGCGACAGGCTCAGAACTGCCTTGCGACGAGGCACCGTGTGCCAGATGGGGTGGGGAGAAAACTCGAAAGGAAGAAGTGTAGCGTGCTATGCGGCAAATACTAGGTAGCTCTGGTGGCAGAAAGCAGCCGTGACCTCAGCCTAGGCAGTGTCATCAGAGAGCGTACACAGCTTGGCCTCGATGTCGCCGTCGCCGCAAGGCCGTGTGGCCTCAAGAGGCTGTTTTAATTGCTGGCACTGCTTCAGGAGTTGTCTGTCAGGACTGCGCATCTTGGCACGTTTTCCCTGTCTTCATGCGATTATTGAAACAGGCGGCATGCTCGAACAAGAATGCAAGTTGAGATAGCCACGGCCTCGGTGGAAGCTATCTGCAACCTGGGACAGGGAGCAAACGAGAACAGCTGTACCCCAAAACTCATGAATACCGCCAGAGAAGGACATCTGTGCAGCCGTCCTCGATGAGGGATGTTGTAAGATGGGGGAAGTCTAGAGCCCAAAATTTGAACTTCAGGTCCGCCTGGTTTTCACTCTCGGAAATGCCAGGCGAGGTGCGTGGTGCTTGGTCGGTTGGAGGGGAGGCCTACACTCGAGCCTGCTTTGCATAAACTCAAGATGCGGCGGCTCAACCGGAGTCGCACATCGTTATGAGGAGCCTAGTGGCCTAGTGCTGGGACCAGGTAGAGATCACAGCCGCACCTATGCCTGTGTGCTCCTAGGCTCCTGCAGTGAAACCTGGATGGTGAGATAAGCCAACTGTGGGGCTTGGTAGTGAAGGCCCCTAAGAATACGAGGCTGGGACGTCGAGGTAGAGCCAGTCAGCTTATCTTCGAGACCTTCTTGAACAAGATAAAATGTGGATGCTCTCCTGTCCTACCCAGGCCGACAGTCGAGCACATTTCAGAGAAGGGGTTGAATGCAACTATAAATCTGCGGATGTCAAGTGCAGAAGGTCGGCCTGTCGATGAAACGATGATGCCAGGAAACAAGTCACATCTTTCATGTCTTAAGTGCATGACAAGTACACAATATCTAAGCCATGGAAGGTTGTAAGATTGCATGCCGGAGTGCATGATTGCCAGTTCACGTGCCAAACTTGCAACAAAAATAACTCCACTCGGTTGGTGAGAAGAAAGCATCATTGGCAAGTGAATGGCTGCCGATGCTTTGCCGCCAGGCACTGATGACTCAGGCTTGCTCATCCATGTGGGTTGTTTCCAGCAATTTGGCCCCTTTCATAGGGCAACGGCCATGCAAATCTAAGAACTCCAAAATCTCAGTAATGTTCGGAATATATTGATGTACAATCATCCTCCGGATCAATCACGACAGCTGATGTGGATCTTCCCTGCTCTTCAGCAGATGCACCGCCTGCACTGTCTCTGAGGCCTAGCTGGGAGCTGTTTCCGAGCTCGACGGAATGCAAGGACTCCTCGGCCGGCTCCGTCGGATCGTCAGCCAAGGTCACAGAGACCAAAGACTCGCTGGCCACTTCCACCTCCTGCACGTGTCCTGGTTCGATCCAGCTGCCTTTTCGACTCGCGTCCTCCAGCTCCTCATCTTCATCCTGCTCTGACTCTTCATCCACAAGCCAGTCGTTTTCGATCTTGTGCTGCACCTTTCGACTGCAGCAGATGGCGAAACTTGCCAGCGTGGCCAGAATCAATGCCACGGACAGCGGGACAAGGATGAGATCCTGCAAGAGACTAATGCAGCAGCTTTCCAACCATTTGACAGCATCCTGCAGGCTGACGTTCGCAAGGAAGAGCAGAACGTAGATGATGCTGAAGCCGGCGTGGCTGCTCCAAACGCTCCAAAACACAAGCGACTTGCATCGCCACTTCATCAATATCTTTGTTTTCTCCCGCGGGTTCCACTCGTTCTTGTCCACGGCAGAACGACTCTGGAGGATAAACAAAGCAAAGATGACCAGATCACCGAGCAAGGCTGAAATGATGCCAACGGTGGCCGTCTGGACCATGCTTGCCAGCAAATCCGTAGGTGGCTGGCAGTCTGGATCTGAATCTGGAGTTGTTGAAGAACTTGAAAAGAAGAGTGCGCCAACCGCAGCTGCACTTGTCAGCTTTGTGATGATCAGGGCCGTGCGCACGGCGTGGGAGTTGAAAAGGCTAAATCTGACCGTCTCCAACCATGGATGCAGCGCCGGGAACAGGAGCAAGATTCGCTTTACCCACGTGCTGGAGAGAAAGCTCTCCACAGCTTGTGTCCCATGCTTCTTCATCTCTTCGTACGGCAGAAGCCCGTTGCTGTGAGCTGATTTCAGCCCACTGTCCACAGTTACGATGACCGAGGACCCCAACTCTCGGAGACTGGGCCTTCTACGTTTCCGCCCACATTGTCTCGATCTTCGCTGGACATTGCCGACGTCATGCTCATGGAGCGGGAGAAGGTCTTGGAGAGCTTCTTGACACCGTCGATGCTGTCTCGGGAGGTTCCCGTCTTGTGAGCATGGATGGTGGTGATACATCGGTTCACGGTGGAGACCGGGGCATTAGGCAGGAACTCCTTTACGACCTCGGCCAAGTTTTCGTATCCGAAGAGCAGGCCAATGCACCACAGTGCCCAGTCAACAGCCGCTCCCATGAAGCTTTTAATGCGCTCCCAGCACGTTTTCGGCCCCTCCGGAGGCAGCTCCTCAAGCAGCTGCGCAACTGTCGTCTTCTTGCGCAAGAGCACAGGCTCCTTCTTCTCCCAAGGGATTGCTTGGTTGGCACGGCGATCCATGCGCAAGGCACAGCCGAAAACCATCGCGAAGACAGCTAGGGAGACGAAAATCACCACAGAGGGTCCGTAGCTTAGCCAAGCAGAGGTACCCAACATCGCGAGGGCTTCTGCCGAGAGTAGCTGCGCTGCGGTGCTGCACTTCAAAGTGGCAATGACATTGGAGAGGACGAATTGTAGAACCCCTCCAAAGATTGAGAGATGTGTCGTACGGCAAGTAATTTGCCCAGGTAAGCTGTCCATCACGGTCTCCACGCCCTCTTCTGACCAGCTGAAGGTCGATTCATCATAGTAGGCACAAGTGGCATTCTCGTTGTCCACAGGAAGCACCATCTCCATGGGGGTCTGCAGGTTCTTGACTTCTATCCGCTTGCCTTCTGCATCACGGAAGTTGAGGCTCACTGACTGCCCTCTGAGCGTGGAAGCCGACGTGGCTAGCCGACGACCCAACCGGGCATCGTCACTGCCGATCTTGTCCGTGACATTCTCCGAAAGCGATGTGACACTGAGCAAGACCAAACCCGACCCCGCAGCAGCTGCGGCCTGCTGGAGGACAGTCCCCGGGACGGTGACGCTGGTCCCATCCTCGCCGCCGACGCTGACATTGCTCTCAGGCTCAACCGAGGTGGCTGACAAGGCCACTACCTTCAGAACTCCGGCATCAGTGGCCACAGACACTTCGGCGAGGACCCCGTCCGTGGCATTGCTGCTCTCCAGCAAGGACGACAACAACTGCAGCGACTGACCCACAGCTGCCTCCTCGGCGGAGTCAAGCGCGTTCACAGCTGCTGCAGCCTCCTCCTTTCTCTGTTGCTCCAGCCGCGCAAAGGCCTGATCATCCAAAGGAGGCGGCTCGGTAAGGGTAACTGTGGTCTCTGTGGCACTGGTGGAGGAGAGTGTGGAGGAGGAAGACGTGGTTGAGAACGTGGCTGAGGTTGTGGAAGAGACGCTGGTAGTCAAGGATGAAGATGCTGAGGTACTGGATGAGATTGTCGTGGTAGAGCTGCTGGTAGTGAAGGAGGTTGTTGTTGTCGACATGGTTGTCGTGGAGTTGGTTGTTGACGAGGTGGATGTTGTGGAGCTAGTTGTAGTGGAGCTAGTTGTAGTGGAGCTACTCGTTAAGGAGCTTGTTGTCACGGAGCTGGTTGTCGTTGAGGTCGTCGAAGTGGAGGTTGTCGTCGTTGAGCCAGTCATTGTAGAGCTAGTTGTCGCAGAGCTGGTTGTCGCAGTGCTGGTTGTCGCAGAGCTGGTAGCTGAGGAGCTGGTTGTGATGGAGCTGGTCGTTGTGAAGCTGGTGCTTGTTGTAAATGTGGACGTGCTCGAGAGCGTTGATGACCAAGTCGCGGTGGTGCTAGATGTGGTCAACGTGCTGGAACTTGAGCTCGTGGCGGACGTCGAAGTCGTGCTGGAGCTTGAAACGGTCCCGGTTGTGCTGCTCGAGCTGCTCGTGGTGCTGGTGCTGGTAGAAGATGTACCTGTGGATGAGGATGTTTTTGACGAGGAGGTACTTGTTGTTGCTGTAGCAGTTGAGCTCGTGGATGTTGTGGCGGTGAGTGATGTAGATGTCACAGGGTTGATGCCCAAGTCAATCGGGGGCAGGTAGTCGCCCATTTGGTTGGCTCCTGCTCCACGTTGAGTGCTATCTCCTTGCCCCAACTGTCCGTTACTACCATGGGCTCCCCAGCATTTGGTGCTAGCGTCATCAAGAACAGCACATGTAAAGGTGGCGCTGACGCTGACGCTTGTGACTGTACGGCCTGTTCCCACATCCACAGCAGGGAGGTTGTCCCCCATCTCCTGGGTTCTTGCTAAGGAATTTAATTTAGTTTAAGTTACCAGAATAGGGATCTATAGTAAAAACTACCATATGGCTCCTTTATTTAAGGTGACTTCAATTACATCCTTTAACAAGAACCCAGTCTCCGAAGATGCAACACCACGATTAATGCCGTCTCCCAGCCCCAGCTCGCCATTACCATTGTAACCCCAGCACTTCATGGTACCGTCATCGAAAACTGCACAGCAATGCTGAGTCTTCGTAGAAACTTGCACAGCAACCTTTCCAGTTCCCAAATCGATGGTTGGGAAGGAATCCCCCATCGTCAGGCCAGTAGTGTCTTGTCCAAGTCTTCCCCCCGAGTTGCTACCTCCCCAACACTTCACACCACCATCATCCAGCACAACACATCCGATACCCTCACCCATGCTGATGTGAGTTGCATGCCTTCCTGTGCCGAAGTCAATGGTAGGGAGATTGTCACCCATTTCGCCAGTTGCAATCCCCCGTATGACGTTATCTCCATATGGCGTCTCAGCAGATCTTCCCCAGCACTTGGTCGAGTCATCTGTGAGGATGACACACGCGGAGCCATAGCCCGAATAAAGTGCTTTCGCTACCTTGCCCGTCCCGATGTCGACTTCTGGTAGGTTCTCTCCAAGTTCAGCATCATTTGCTCCTCGGTTCGTGGTATCTCCATACCCAAGCGTTTCTCCTCCCCAGCCCCAGCATTTCACCGTCCCACCATCAAGTAAGGCACACATGTGGTACCAGCCTCCAGCCACTTGCTGCACTGTTCGGCTTGCGCCCAGCTTGGCAACAGGAGAATTTCCATCAAAGCCCACACCGCCGACGTCCCCAGTCGCTCCGATGGCGCACTGGCCATATGCATTCCATCCCCAGCACTTCGCATTGCCATCATCCAGGACAACACACATGGTATATTCCCAAGGGCCTGTAGTCAGGCTTGCAGCAGTTCGTCCAGTGCCCAAATCGATGGGCGGCAAGAAATCCCCCATCTCATCCGGATGGTCGCCGCGGATAGCCGAATCCCCTTGGGCCAGTACCGTGTGGGTCTGTCCACCCCAACACTTAACATTTCCATCATCGAGGAGGGCGCATGTACTGATGCGCCCAGGTTGCACGTCGCTTGCCCCGTAGTTGCTCGAGGCTAGAACGCAGATCCCGTTGAGTGCGGCGGCCAGGAAAATCGCCGCCATTGCTGGCACCAGAGATTCGGAGTTTGAGCGTAGTGTGTAGTTGTGAGACTGGGCTGTCTAGCTTGAAGTGCCTAGAGGCTTGGGGGCAATAGGACTATCGAGAATACCGCGACCAGATTCCACAGGTTAGCAGGCACTCCGAAGCTGCTCCTGCCAGCTCTAAGAACTAGTAGCTTCGGCATGTTTTAGAGATGCCAGGTCCAGGTTCAGACGCTTGGGTGGTCCCAGACAATTTGTTGACTTTCCGACGGTTCAGCAGAGAAGTGAGCAGCAAAGAGAAGCAAGGGAAGCCCGGGATCATAAACTACAGCTTGCACATACAAGCGTTGCTCAGCGGCTGGCTTGGCCATAGCCTTGACGAAGGTCTTCCTGCACTTGCATGCACTTTTGCAGCTTGCCTCCTCCTCAACAGTTACAGCTGCAGCTGGTTACAGCTATTCTCAGCAAAGAGCTTGGCACTTGGATTTCTCCGTTGCTCACTTCGGTGCTCTCGGCCGATCTCACGAAATAGCCACTGAACAGCATCCTTAAATATCCTCAGCGTGAATCACAGCTGAAGTACAACGACGTGCCTGCTCGGGAGCAGCTTTCCAAGCTCGCTTGGAGCTTGGACGGCTGCACATCTAATTATCAGCCGCAACAACTCCACGAAACGTTCCAAGAAGGAATGCCGAATCACTCCTTCACATCGTGAATCGAGCCTCCGGTTGGTCATGGAAGGGAATGAAAATCCTTACCGCTGTTGTGTTGACGATAGTGGCGGTGATGATACTTATCTATGATCATTGCCATGGTTACTTGTGTGTGCTGCATTGCTGTTGCACACTGCTGCTATGGCTAGACATGTTGAGCAAGCTACAGTAACAGGATATTATCGTGTTTGGTGCTTCTCTGCTGATCCCTCGACTTTCTCACAAAGAAACAGATTGGAGCATCTGCGAAAACATCTCAATGCTAAGTTGCATTACGCAGCCTGGCAAAAGCTCTGGGGAGCCATCGAGGTGCTCTCGTCACCTCGGTCTCGCACCGGCATGCTGCATGCATGCTCTGGTGAAAAATGCGTGAGCGGTCCCAAGCATTGGCATCTTGAAGGAAACATTCGACTCATTTGGCTGCATCCTCGCTGGAGAGAGCACTGCTGGCATCGGTTCTCATCGAAAGTGACGGATCCTCGCTCGTGGGCCATTCTCAAGGTCAGCATCTTGAGCCTTGCTAGCACCATCTCGGGATTCACGCCCCAAAACCGGAACCAAGGCTGCCTTCCCCTCGAGGGCGACGGCATTCCATGCTTGGAAGCTCGTACGTTGGCACAACGGTGGTTTCTTGCGACGCCCCACAGACTACTTACGCGATTACATTAAATGCTTGAGGGCAAACAACGCTGTCCCGACACTGTCATACCTATGCAGTCTGCTGAGCATCGCAAAACATGAGCTCACATACGACTAGCACGGCCTGGCGGGTTTGGGACCAAAAACCAAAACTGCAACCCAGCGTGCTCAGCACAGCTGAAGTATGATATGCGACTGAGGCGAGCACGGGACTCCATCCCCAAAAACTCTGCCATGCTGGGCTTGGAAGACTTGGAAAATCAAAACAAAACAATGAAGGGAACCGGAAACAAGACACAAGCTTGACTGGCACACCTGCGGATCAGTCAGCAAGACCTCCAACAAATCCACAAGACGTTTGAGACGAGACTCTTTAGCTAAGTTGTCCACATGCGAACAGGCAGCGGCATGCCAAGCT